TCTTGAGAGGGGGACCCCCAAACTCAATAGTTTTACATTTATAATTTGTTGCCACAAGTCCTTGCTTCTTTTTCCATCCAATTTTAATGTCTCAGTCAAACTCCCTCTTTTTTTTTTTTTTTTTTTTAACATTTTCTAGCTTTATGATGTGGGAAAAGCTATTTTAAAGTTATGGCAGTTAATATTTATATTCTTTATGAATTGCATACATGCACACAATGTATATTGATCATATTCATCTTCTACTCCTCCCCCTAACTCCTCCCAAATCTATCCCACCTCCCTCTCAACTTGGATGTCCTGTTTTTTAAAAAGTTTTCTTTTTAAAAAAAATATTATTTTTATTTTATGTATATGAGTGTATTGCCTACATGTATGTAAGTGCACCCATGTCGTGTAATGTCCTCAGGGGTCAGAAGAGGGTGTTGGATGCCCTGGAACTGAGTTACAGACTGTTAGCTGTCATGTGGATATTGAACCCACATGTACTGGGAATCAAACCCGAGTCCTCTATAAGAGCAGAACTCGAGTTATGGACAGTTGTTAGCTGCCATGTGGGTGCTAGGATATGAACCTGGGCCTGCTGTAAGAACAACCAGTGTTCTTAACCCCTGACCCATCTCTCCAGCCCTTAATGTCCTCTTTAAAAAAAAAAAAATTTTAACCCACCTAGTCCAGTTTGTATTGCCTTAAAGAAAACTGACTCTTTCTCCCTACAAACCTCAACTGTCAGTAGCTCCTCAGCTAGGAGAGGGGCAAACTGTGAAAATGTGCTCTCTCTGGTCTCTTCTGTTGTTTGCCATTATGCTTCCCCATGATATTCTCTGGCTGGCTGCTCGCTCCTGCCCTGCACTGCCTTGCCTTTAGTGTCTTCTCTTGAGGACTTTCCTGAGCACCTCAGTTCCTCCTGGTTGTTCCAGCCTCTGGACTTCCATAGTACTTGCTGGAAATAGCAGCTATTTCTGACTTTGCCATGTCTTTCTGTATCCTCTGTGTACAAATAGATGATAAGCTCTTTGAGGTTGAGATGGGTTTTTCTTTCTCTGTGCTTAGCATGGGGCAAGTACTCTTAGTTTGCAGTTTTTGAGAAGTACAGGTAACAAGCTTAGTACAGACAGCCTGTAGGTAGCCAAAGTAGTTTTTAAGTTCTCAAAGATTTTAAAACTCAAAAAGAAAGCTGTAAAGGAAAATTTTTTAGGAAAACTGTGAATTCAATATACGGGAATAGAGTTTCCATATTTTAAATGAAACAGTCTGTTTAGGGCCACTTGGAGTTAAAAGGTCTTTATTCTGACTTCAAATTCTCTAGGAAACAAATTCCAAATTGCAGTGCTGAGTTACCAGGTAAATGACACCTAGTTTCCAGGTTTGTTGCTGTGCTTTCAACACAGTCAGTAAGATTAACCAGGGATTTGAGCTACAAAAGAACAAATTTATTAAGTCATGGAACAGCCTATTTTGTAATAATTTTCCTACTTTGAAATCTCTAGCCGAGCATGGTGATGCACACCCTTAATCCCAGCACTTGGGAGGCAGAGGCAGGCCAATCTCTGTGAGTTCAAAACTAGCCTGGTCTGCATAACAGGTTCCAAGACAGCTGAGACTACAGGGAGACCCTGTCTCAAAAAGTTAAAAAAAAAAAAAAGATGAAACCTCTAAAGGGTATCTAAGGGTATAATTTTTCTTTTCTTTTAGAGTAGGGAACCGCCCCCCCCCTTTTTTTTTTGAGACCAGGTCTCACTGTGTAGCCTTGGCTGTCCTGGAATGTGCTATGTCTACTAGCTGGCCTTGAACTCAAGAGCCCCCCCTGCCTCTGCCTCCCAAGTGTTGGGGTTAAAGGTATGCGCCACCATGTCCGGCTAATTTTGCTTTTAATGAGTATTAAAAACATAATTCTGATAGCCGGGCATGGTGGTCCATGCCTTTAATCCCAGCACTTGGGAGGCAGAGGCAGGCGGATCTTTGTGAGTTCGAGGCCAGCCTGGTCTACATGGTGAGTTCCAGGACAGCTGGAGTTACAAGGAGACCCTATCTCAAAAAGACAAAAAAAAAACCAAAAACTTGATTCTGGGGCTGGAGAGATGGCTCAGCAGTTAAGAGCACCGACTGCTCTTGCAGAGGACTGGGATTCAATTCCCAGCACCCACATGGCAGCTATGAACTGTCCTTAACTCCAGTTCCAGGGGAATCCGAAGCCCTCTTCTGATCTCCATGGCATTTTATGACATGGTTGCACTCATGTACATGCAATCAATACACTCGTACACATAAAAAACAAAAAAAAAGCATAATTCTGAATTCATTTGAAACTTCAAGTTCTTGCTTAATTTCTTCAGCGCCAGCAGAAGCTTCAGAAAGAACGCCTCATGAATGACTTCTCTGCGGCCTTAAACAATTTCCAGGCTGTGCAGAGAAGGGTATCTGAAAAGGAAAAAGAAAGTATTGCCAGAGCAAGAGCTGGATCTCGTCTTTCTGTAAGTTCAGTCCCCAAAGAAGACCTTTATAATTTCCAGATGTTCTATCCCAAGTTTTTGCTCTTTCTGACCATTAGCCTTTGTTTACTGTCACACCAAGTAACTAACATATACAGTTAATATATACCTCCTGTTCAGAATGGTTCATATTCTGGGCCTAAACTGGAATGCAGATTTGCTTTCAACCATTTCACACCCATTTCCTAGTCAGGACAGATTTCTACAGTTCTGTGCCATCTTACAGATGCTGTTAGTGCCAAGGAACATCACTCCTTTATACTATAGCTAAGGCAAGCCCTGTTCTGTGTGTCTTTGACATGTTTCTGGATAACAGTAGTAATAATGCCATCTGCTTTCTAGGCAGAAGACAGGCAAAGAGAGGAGCAGCTCGTCTCATTTGACAGGTAAAGAATTATTCATCCAGCCTGCTGGATAGCTGGTGATGATACCTTTATGTCTATTTTTAATTTAAAACATCAGTGAGATGAGCCAGGCATGGTAATGCACCTGTGTAACTCCAACACTTTGGGGGCTGAGGAAGAGGATAAAGATAGTTGGAGAGAGGCTAGTCTGTGCTGCATAGCATGGCTGTCAAGTAAGTAAAAAAGTAAAATGGGGAAAAATGGAGGACAAAATAAAAAGAGAGCTTCAGGTAGTTAAGTATTACCCACAAAATAAAACTCAAATGTCAAACCCATGAGTTTTTTTCTAACACCTTTGAGTTATGGAAGGAATGTTTTTAAGGTGAATTTTAAAAAGTACAAGAACCCCCTGGCAGTGCTGTGTGGGAGAGGAAGCTCAACTCACTGGGAATAAGTGCAGACCCACAAAAGCACAAGACAAGATCCTCATCATCTTAACCTCTGGTTTATGTTTCCCATTCTGAGATTCATTTCCTCCCTCTGAAATGGGCAGTCAGCATTCTAGGAAGATGGAGAGCAGACAGTTTGTATTCATGGTACCATTTGGAAACCTAAGTGGTTTATCATAGATACAAATCCATCTTTCCTCCTATGCTGTGGGCACATTAGGGCCTGAGGGCTTCATCTGACTGTTTCCTATCTCAAGACATGCTTTTGTTTATTTATGAATTGTATTTGAGTATTTTTATTTCATGGATGTACGTACATCAGGTGCACGCAGTGCCCTCAGAAGCCAGAAGAGGGTGTCAGATCCCCTAGAACTGGAGTTCTGGATGGTTGTCAGCTGCCATGTGGGTGCTGGGAACTGAGCTGGGGTCCTCTGGAAGAGCAGCCAGTGTTCTTACCTGCTGAGCCATCTTGCTCCAGCCCCCAGGACGTGCTTTAAATATTGTGGCGAAGAAGTATGAGTTACACATACTGTTGAGAAATGCATAACATGGGATTGCCAAAGTGTTTTCTGAATTTACCAAGTAGCACTTTTCTTCTAAATGCCTGAAAAAAAGAATTACAGACATTTCATTGGCTTTCACTTTGGTTTTCTGTTAAGTGATATCCCTAAGTATAACCTCAAGGAAATTATTGGAAACTGGATATGATTCTTTTAAATGAATTGATGAAGCACTGGTTGGTTATAACCTATTCTCATTTAGGCCCCTTGGTACCAACACAGCTTGTACTTTGAGAGTGCCCTGAGAGGGCCAGGTCCGCATAATTCACTGAGTTGAAATCTCTGGATACTTCCCTTGTCTAGCAAGTCCTAGCAGGATTGCAGTTTACCCCTGAGTGGAAAAAGCAAGGAGGCCCATCCTCCATTATTCTGCCTCATCTCAGCTTTGCTCTCGGAGGCTGAGATTTTCTTTTCTCAGCATTGTCACTTCTCTGCCTCTGCATCTGAAACGTGGTCCTGAGGGACTTTGTATAGCAGAAGAACTTAGATCTGGGTGGTCCACCTGGGTTCTGCTGGCAGCAGAGATGTTGTAGTTATGTCTCCTCATACCTCAGAGAGAAGGAATCAACTGCAGTGCTTGTCTGTTTCCCTGTAGCCATGAGGAGTGGAACCAGATGCAGAGCCAGGAGGATGAGGTGGCCATCACTGAACAAGATCTGGAGCTTATTAAAGAGAGGGAAACAGCGATTCGGCAGCTGGAGGTAAGAGCCAGGTTGTGTCTTTTGTTTGACTCAGGTTGACTTCAGGTATTTGGGTGCTCTAGCCTGAGTTTTCTTTGGATTAATATGAACAGGTATGGATTGAGTCATTGTGTAGTTTTTATATAATTTAACTCAATTTAGTCATGACCTGGGAGCACAGGTATACCCAGGACCTTTCCTCAAACTTCACTTCTCATATGGACTCTCAGAGAGACATCTGCATGGAAAACAGCAAGGCAAACAAATATGTTGTTGTTTATTGGAACTAAATCTCAATAGCAATCTCGAGGTTAAGCAGGGTTCTGTAGAAGGCTTTTCTTAGTCTTAGTAGACCAGCATAAAGGAAAGCTAAAACTCTTGGATCTATTTCTATTTTTTTACAGTCTAAAGTCCAATTCCAAGTTGGAAGTCTTACATTTCACTGGGTCAGAATTGTGACAGGTTGGTTTTTTTTTTTTTTTTTGGTTTTTTTGAGAAAGGGCCTCTCTGTAGCTCCAGCTGTCCTGGAACTCACTATGTAGACCAGGGTGGCCTTGAGCTCACAGAGATCTGCCTGCCTCTGCCTCCCGAGTGCTGGGATTAAAGGCGTGCGCTACCACGCCCGGCTAATTTGCCTGCATGTATGTGAGTGCACCCCTGTCATGCAGTGCTGTGGAGGTCAGAAGAGGGCTTCAGATTCCCCTGGAACTGGAGTTAAGGATAGTTTGTAGCCACCATGTGGGTGCTGGGAATTGAACCCGGGTCCTCTACAAGAGCAGTCAGTGCTCTTAACTGCTGCGCCATCTCTCCAGCCCCATCAGAATTGGGACAGTTTTTGAGGTAGGGTTGAGGGAGGGGTCGGTAGACTCTGACTGAGCTCCCCCTTATCCCATTAGCCAGCAGTTTCCTCAGGTCTCTGAATTCTTGGGGCTGGGCAGGGGTAGTTAGTAGTTAGGAGGGAGGGAGAATTGAGAGTAGGGAAACTGAGTTCCTCCTTTACTTCCTCTGTAGTAGTGGCTCTGAACCCTGCCTGCACATTAGAATCTTTTGGATATCTTTTTTTTTTTTTTTTGTCTTTTTGAAACAGGGTCTCCCTGTAGCCCCAGCCACCCTGGAACTTGCTATGTAGACTAGGCTGGTCTCAAACTCACAGAGATCCTCCTGCCCCTGCCTTCTAAGTCCTGGCACTAAAGGTGTGTTCTGCCACACCCGGCTTGGAGATCTTTTTAATACCTCAGTTCTCTCCTACCACCAATTATTAGATTGGACTACGTGCAGTTCCTGGGTTTTGTAGATTAAAAATGGACAAATATGAGTTGGAGATATGGGTCAGTGGTTAAGAGCATTGACTGCTCTTGTAGAGGACCCAGATTCCCATCACCTACAGGGCAGCTAACAGCTGTCTGTTAGCTCCAGTTCTAGGGGATCTGATGCCTTCTTCTGACCTCTGCAAGCATTGCATGACATGGGTACACTTACACACATGCAGGCAATATACCCATATACATAAAATAAAAATAATAAAAAAATATTTTTTTAAATGAACAAATATTGCCAGGCGTGGTGGTGCACACCTTTAATCCCAGCCCTTGGGAGGCAGAGGCAGGCGGATCTTTGTGAGTTTGAGGCCAGCCTGGTCTACATAGTGAGTTCGAAGACAGCTGGGGCTACAAGGAGACCCTGTCTCAGAAAAGACAAAAAAAAAAAAAAAAAAAAAAAAAAAAAAAAAAGAACAAATATGAGGGGTGGTGTTGAAATGGTTCATCTAGTAAAGGTACCAACTGCCAAGCCTGATGACCTGAGTTTGATCCCTGAGACCTACAGGTGAAAGGAGAGAACCAACTCCCAATAGTTGTCCTCTGACCTCCACATGTGGGTCATGGCATACAGACACATAGAAGTGGAATAATTTTTTTTTTTTTTTGAAACACTCTCCCTGTAACCCCAGCTGGCCCGGAACTCACTGTGTAGACCAGGCTAGCCTTGAACTCAACAGAGAGCTGCCTGCCTCTGCCTCCCAAGTGCTGGGACTTACAGGTGTGAGCCACCATGCCAGGCTAAGTTTTTTTTTAATGGATAAATATCCACAGCTCTTAAAGAGGACTTGGGTTCAGTTCCCAGCACCCACATGGTGACTCACTACCTCCTATAACTCTAGTTCCAGGGGACCCAGTGTTCTGATGCACATACACACATGTAGGCTCACACATGTACACATAAAATAAATACATCTTTAAAGACTAAAGATGTTGGGGCTGGAGAGATGGCTCCAGGATGGGGACATCACTGGCTGCTCTTCCAGAAGACCTGGGTTCAGTTCCCAGTACCCACATGGCAGCTAGGAATAACTGTCTGTAACTCCAGTTCCAGGGGATCCAGTGCCTTCTGGCCTCTGTGGACATTGCACATGGGTTGTACTTACATACATGCAGGCAAAACATTTGTATACATAAAATAAAAATAGATAAATCAAAAATAAATAAATAAAGTTGTTGCCAGGCGTGATGGCACACACCTTTAGTCCCAGCACTTGAGAGGCAGAGGCAGGCAGATTTCTGTAAGTTGGAGGCCAGCCATGGCTACAGGGGGACCCTGTCTCAAAAAGACAAAAAAGAAAGCTTCATGCCTTGTTTTTCCTTTATTTCTTTTTCACCTTCCACTGCTAATCACTGGCTTGGTGCAACCTTAGAAATGCTTTTAAGCAAGGAGTAGAGCGAGCTATTTGGAACTAAGGGCAGGATGTAGAAGGTCACGTAATGGTGGGCCAGTAATGTAGTTGATCACTTAACATTCAACAGGGTGAAGTGTGAATTCCTTACCCTGGGCTTGATTTTCATTTCTAATCATTTCCTACCTCTAACATATGCCTTCTATTAAAGCCAGACAGCTGTTTGCTTTTGAAGGCAGTTTATCCTCTGCTTCTGTGGTCTCCTCCTGTCACTTCAGTCTTCTGCATAGCTTTCTATACTATTCTGTAGTTCTTTCCTCTATAACACCCTTTCTTCTTAATCATCTTGCTATGTACTTTTGTCTGCGACCCCACCCCAGTTAGATGTAAGTATCCATGGCAACTAGCAGACTATCCTAACTCTAGTAGACCATTAGCAAAGTGGTTGGGATACTAGCAAGATGCTCTTACCAAGTTGCAATTCCAGTCACCCTCCGAACCTGGAAGTCCTAATGGACACTAGCAGGTTCTGCCTAAACTCATTTGTATTTCAGTAGGGCCACCACCCATATGAGCATATCTTTTTTTTTTTTTTTGGTCTTTTTGAGACAGGGTCTCCCTGTAGCCCCAGCTGTCCTGGAACTCACTATGTAGACCAGGCTGGCCTTGAACTCACAGAGAGCTGCCTGCCTCTGCCTCCTGAGTGCTGGGATTAAAGGTGTGCGCCACTGCGCCCAGCTATGAGCATATCTTTAACAGGTCAGGTTTCCATTGTTCTTCTGCCTGACCATATGGCCATACCATGGCTCATTCCCTGTGAGTCAATAAAAACCTCTGTAGGGGATTTTGCTTCCATCTGCCAGGAAAAGAGCCTACAGTTCAGCCCACCAAGCTGATTTGTTTTTAACTTTTTTCAGTTAGAATAGCAGACTTCCAAACCGTGTTGTCCTTTTACCCTAGACCTGTATTATACTATCCAAGCTGCTCCTGTCAGTTAGCTGAAGGCTGTTTATAGGGTACTTCAAATGACAGTAGAAGCCAGTAGTCCCTTAGTTGTGAGTTTGGCTTTCTTATGTTCCCCTAGGTAGCACAATCCTATGTAAACCATTTAAATTCTCTAGTCCAAAATCCTAGTAGTCATTGTAATGGGAAACACAAGCCATTTCCTTAAGGGCCAGTTAGGCTTCGTGTAGAACCAGCTCAAAGAATCTGCCCATCTCAGCACCCCTACTTCTATTTGATATGGTTTGGGCTCGGATGATCTTACTGGTGCCCAGGTAGTATGTGTAATTTGCCTAATGGGTAGGTTTCATGTCTTCTGTTTTACAGTGTTGGGTAGGTATCAAAAGAATTTCTGTTCTTGAAGAAAGCATACTTTATAGAGCTTTAAAAAATTAGTTCCTTAATAATTAGTAGATGTGAAAAACATTACCACTGAAATCTACCTGATGACTCTATATCCGTGCTCAGATGCCAAGGAGCTCAGAAAGTAACCGACTGTGACTAGTAATAATCAGATATGTAGAGATGCACACATGTGCAAACATCTTAATGTCAATTGCACTGAAAATGAATTTTTCTGTATGAAACTGCGTATTTTAATAAAGAAATGGAGATCTTTTTTAAAGGTTAAACCCCATTCAATTTTATGTCTTATGGGGTTTATACTGAGTTCAGTATTGTATAACTGTATTAATTCATCTGTAAACCTAAAAATATCTTAGCTCTGGAAATTGTTATTGAATATGTCAATGCTGTTGTAATGAAATGCTTCTTCTAAGTATGTGGTTATTAAATAAATAATTAAATAATTAAAAAAAAAAAAAACAACCACATGTGATATGTTAGTAGCCAAAACTTTAGTAAGGAAAGGAAAGGAATCTTCTAACATGTTGCTTAATAGTAGTTAATTGTCTTCTGTTTTCCTTAGGCTGACATTTTGGATGTCAATCAGATATTTAAAGATTTGGCCATGATGATCCATGATCAAGGTGATCTGATCGGTAGGTATTATTGATACATCTAGCCTTGGGGTGAGTTGGTAGTATTTTAGTACAAAGAACTCAGTAAAATGGGTCAGCTAAACACTTAAGTTTAGAAATATTTTGGCTGGAGAGATGGCTCAGTGGTTAAGAACACTGGTTGTTCTTACAGAACACATGGTAGCTAACAACTGTCCATAACTCCAGTTCCAGGGAATCCAACAGTTTCTTCTGTCCTCCAAGGGCATTGCACGACACCTGTGTACTTACCTACATGCAGGTAATACACACATACACATAAAGTGAAAATAACAAAGAGCTACATGCCTCTGCCTCCCGGGTGCTGGAATCAAAGGTGTTTTGTCATCATACCCCATAATTTTCTAATACTGTCAAGTGTAGAGGTAAAAAAGTGGGACCTCTGTAGCTGTTCAGCCTTACTCACTTGCCATAACTTGTAAGTCTGTTTAGAGAAAGAGCTGTCAGCTTCCCAGCTCTCAAAACTTGCATGATTATGGGGCTAGTAACTTTAAAATGTGTTTATTTTTATTTTATATGCTTGAGTGTTCTACCTGCATGTGTCTAAGTGCACCCATGCTGTGCAGTGTCCACGGAGGCCAGAAGAGGGTACTGGATCCCTGGGAACTAGAGTTATGGATGGTTGCTAGCTATGTGGGTGCTGGGAACTGAACTTGGGTCCTCTGTAAGAGCAGCCAGTGCTCTATTCCTTTGTTTGTTTGTTTGTTTGTTTGTTTGAGACAGGGTCTCCCTGTAGCCCTAGCTGGCCTTGAACTCAGAGAAATCTGCCTGCCTCTGCCCCTCTGCCACCCAAGTGCTGGGATTAAAGACATGCACCACCACACCCAGAGCTGCAGCCAGTGCTCTTAACTGTTGAGCCATCTTTCCAAGGGGTTAGTAACTTTTAGAAAGCTTTTCTTTTCTTTTAATATTTTATTTTTATTTTTGTGTATATGCATATTGCCTACATGTATGTAAGTGCACCCATGCAGTGCCCACAGAGATCAGAAGAGGGTGTTGGATTCTCCTGGAACTGGAGTTATAGATTGTGGGTGCTGGGAATTGAACCCAGGTCCTCTGCATGAGCAACTGGTGCTCTTAACTCTGAGCCATCTCTCCAGGCCCTAAAAAGCTTTTTAATGTGGAAATAATCTTAAGTTTATAAAAATCTGCAAAAATAAGAGACTGGAGAGATAGCTCAATGGTTAAGAGGACTGGCTACTCTTGCAGAGGACCCAGGTTCGATTCCCAGCACCCACATGATGACTAACAGCCATCTATTATTCCAGTTCCAGGGAAATTCAATGCCCCTTCTGACCTCTGAGAGCACTACACAACACAGGTGCACTTACATACATGTACGCATAACTCATACACATAAAATGGAAATAAATAAGTTTTTAAAATATATTTTTTTTAATTTTAATTTTTATTTATTTATTTTTGTCTTTTTGAGACAGGGTCTCCCTGTAGTCCCAGCTGACCTGAACTCACTATGTAGACCAGGTTGGCCTTGACCTCACAGAGATTCAGAGGCTGCCTGCCTCTGCCTCGTGAGTGCTGGGACTAAAGGCATGCGCCACCATGCCCAGCTTTATTTTTATCATTATTATTTTTTTGTCTTTTTGAGACAGGTCCCTGTAGCCCCAGCTGGCCTGGAACTCACTATGTAGACCAGGCTGGCCTTGAACTCACAGAGATTCACCTGCCTCTGCCTCCCAAGTGCTGGGATTAAAGGTGTACGCCACCACACCCAGCCTTTATTTATTATCTTTATTTTATAAGTGTATTGCCTGCATGTATGTAAGTGTCATGCAGTGCCCATGAACATCGGAAGAGGGTGTCACAATTCCCCTGGAACTGGAGTTAAGGACGGTTCATAGCTGCCATGTGGGTGCTGGGAATTGAACCCGGGTGCTCTGCAAGAGCAGTCAGTGCTCTTAACTGCTGAGCATCTCCAGCCCCAATAAATAAATTTTTTAAAAAGTGAATTTTTGTTGAAGAATTATTGGCAGCTGATTACTACTGGGTGAGGAAGAGCTGATCTTCTTAAAGGGAGGGATTCTAGATAGACTGACTAGACCTCAGTGGATCAACTTGCACTGAAGGACATCTGGGTACACTAACTTGACATGATTGGCCTTAACACAAATAACAGAATGTATGAATTCCAGCTGGGGGCTATGGGAGAGGGTCAGTGGGGAAGAGGGTATAAAGATGATTAAGATGTTTTATATGAAATACACAAAAATTCAATAAAAATTTTTTTAAAAAGAAAATTCCTGCCAACAAAAGATAGTGTATCAAAACAGGAAGTTGGAGCTCTCTCTGAAAATTATCAAGTATATATGCTCTTTGAATAAAATAGAAAACTCTGAGCCACAGCAATAAGGGTAAAAGTGCGTGCCATACAAGTTTAACAACATGAGTTTGATCCTGGGAACCCACATAAAGGTGGAAGCAAAGAACAAAATCCACAGATTCGTCCTTTGACCTCCACACATGTGTGTACTGTACCCCCCCAAATACATAAATGAATACCCACAAATTACTCTATTAGCTTATTTCTTACCTCTGACAGGTGTTATAGTATTTCTGTCAGATACTTCCAAGTTTTGACCTTGTAATGACTTTTTTGTTGTTGTTCTTTTTGAGACAGGGTCTCCCTGTAGCTCCAGCTGCCTGGAACTCACTCTGTAGACCAGGCTGGCCTTGAACTCACAGAGGTCTGCCTGCCTCTGCCTCCCTAGTGCTGGGACAGAAGGTGTGCACCACCACGCTTGGCTATAATGACTTTTTAGAAACTATCCCAACCAAGCTGGGCGTGGTGGCACACACCTTTAATCCCAGCACTTGGGAGACAGAGGCAGGTGGATCTCTGTGAGTTCGAGGCCAGCCTGGTCTACATAGTGGGTTCTAAGCCAGCTGGTACTACAGGGGGCCCCTGTCTCAAAAAAAAAAAAAAAAAAAAAAAAAAAAAAAAAACAACAAAAAAAAGGTAAACGAAACAAAGAAACTATACCCAACCAAAAATTTCATAATAAACACAATAGTTTACATACAATTATTTATAATGGCAAAAAATATCAGTAGGAAAATGGAAATAAGAATACATTCATAGTATAGAGCTAACAGGAAAATAACATAAGTACATAATACATAAAGTTTTTAAGGTTATTCCTAGATCGAAACATAAAAACAAAAAATTATACATATGAGCAATGTCCATATAATACATGTATATTACACATACATTTTAAAACTACAGGTTGTAGAGAAAAAGGTAGACGACCCTACTTAAGCAATTACAAAAGAAATCCAAATACCTAAATATGTTTATGATTTCAAGTCTTGCTAAGCTCACTCTTTTTGGAATCTTTTCATTAGTTTCTCCTACCTAGAACAGAATTCTTTTTTTTTTTGGTCTTTTTGAGACAGGGTTTCCCTATAGTCCCAGCTGTCCTGGAATGTAGACCAGCAGGCTGGCCTTGAACACACAGACATCCCTCTGCCTCTGCCTCCCACGTGCTGGGATTAAAGGCGTGCACCACCACGCCCAGCCTACAGAATTCTATTTTTAAAGATTTGTTTTCAGTCAGGCAAGGTAGCACACATCTTTAATCCCAGCACTCCAGAGGTAAAGGCATGTGGATCTCTGTGAGATCAAGGCCAACCTTGTCTACACAGAGAATTTCAGGCCAGCTGGGCCTACAAAGTAGACCCTGTCTAAAAAAAAAAAAGCATCCCTGGGCACGGTGGCACAGGCTGTTAGTCTGAGCACTCAGGAGGCAGAGGCAGGCAGATCTCTGTGAGTTTCAGGCCAGCCTGGTCTACATAGTGAGTTCCAGGCCAGCTGGGGCTACAGGGAGACCCTGTCTCAAAAACAGCACAAAAAAAAAAGTGATTTTTAAAGAATTTTCATGGGTGGATAGTTGGAATGTTGATGGTGAATCAGGAACCGTGTCAGATGTTTGTTCAGTTTACAGTCTTGAATGTGCTAAAATATCCGCTGTATTTTTTGCAGATAGCATAGAAGCCAATGTGGAAAGCTCAGAGGTGCATGTCGAAAGAGCCACTGATCAGTTACAGAGGGCTGCTTACTATCAGGTAAAAGCCAGCACCAAAGAAAGTTGCTCTGTGCTGTAGACGGAAAGAGTCATCAGACTATGTTGACACATTGTAGACAGCTACAGTCTTTGGCCTAAGCTAGAGGCAGGTAGACATAATTTGCAGTCCCAGTCCCATTTTTAGTATTTATCTTTGCAACAAGAGCTACAAAACCATCAAATCTTGAATGAATTTACACAGAAACCTCCTGGCTGTAAAACTAATCCCATGAGCTAGCCTGATGCCCAAATCTAGCATAAGGCTAATCGTGTATTTAGGCAGTGGAACTATGTTTCTGTTAGGATAAGAGCTACAGGTAAAGTAGAGAGAGCTTCATGGAAACTTTATGTAGACTACCTCCTCAGAGCATAGACATCCTAGAATCCACTATAACAGCTGTTTATATGCAAAGGGATAGGGACTAATCCTTATGGAACTCAGCCTGTGAAGTAAAATTCCTCTGACTGTCTCACTTTTTTAGTCTGTCTTAATGTTTAGATACTGAAAATGAAGTCTTTCTCATTTCCCCTCAATTTGGTCATAGAAGTAAATAACATTTCAGTCATTTTCTATGTAACTGGAGAGCTGTATTTTACCTGGGAATATTCTTAAGGAAATTGTGTTCCATAATGGTATTTCCTTTAGAAACTGAGGACCTTAGTTTCCAACAGTAAAAGAATAATTTTATTCACTCAGTGTTGTATGGGATTATGTGGGATCTAAGAAATGTTTATGAGGTTTTTATCAGAAAAAGAAAGTTTCTGTTAAATGTCAAATGAGAAAAGTATCCAACATTATACCTTATGATCCCAGTGATGTTCAATAGCAATGTGCATATTGATGAGCAGAAGAGAGCAGAAGAAAATACAATCAGAATGTTCACAGTCTTATCTATGGGTGATTATTTTCTTTCTGACTGCCTGTATTTTTTTACAGTGCATATACAATGTGATAGGTATAAAGTGGTTGTTAAAATACAGACAGACAGACAGACAGGTGTGGCGGTACACATCTTTAATCCCAGTAGAGAGGCAGACCTCTGAGATTGAGACCAGCCTGGTCTACATAGCGAGTTCCAGGCCAGCCAGGGCTACATAGTGAGACCCTGTCTCAAAAAACCAATCAATCAATAAACAGTATACAGAGGGGCAGGGCAGATGGCTCCAAGGTTAAAGCACTTGCCACACAAGCAAGAGGTTTGGAGTTTAGATTCCCCAATCCCACATAAATATCTGGTGGGTATGGCAGCCACCTGTAATTTTGGCCTTGGAAGGCAGAGATGGGATTCCAGGAGCAAGCTGACTTGGAAGGCTAGTCATATCAGCAAGCTCTGAGTTTGACTGAGATAGCCTGACTCAAAAAATAAGGTGGGAGAGCAATAGAGATGCATTCTTGCCATAAGCCTTGGGCCTCTGCATACATGCATGTACCTACTGACATGTATACCTATGCATGCATACACACTGCACTCATACACACAAAAAAGAAAAGTAAAATACATTAATTAATTTTTAAAAGTACATTAAAAAATAACACTGCAAATAACACCTAGCAGCATAGGCATAGCTTCCTTGTAAAATTGTGTTCCAAAATAACTAAAACTTATACTGCTGTCTAGAACTGGTTCCTTTGGGAAGGTCTCTATGTGTTTGTAGGATGGTAAGAGTTAATTCTAGGCTGGGGATGGGACTCAGTAGTAGAGCACTTACCTAGTGCCCACAGGGACCAATTCCAGCACTGAAAATAAAAGCATTAATTGTGAATGTTGAGGAGGCAGACGAGTGAAGCACTCTTGGAATCTTAGATATAAATATTTTTATGTGTTTCATGAGTGTCTTTAAATATTTCTTTCCTCAGAAAAAATCTCGCAAGAAGATGTGTATCCTCGTGCTTGTCCTGTCAGTGATTATTGCAGTCTTGGGATTTGTTATCTGGCTAGTTTCTAAATGAAATGTGATTGCCTCAGAGCCTCCTCCTGCTGAGTTGTTTGCAAGGGCAAGTGCTTGATGGAGTCTTGTCAGAACAAAGTGACCACAAGAAGAGAGTGTATACCAGATTGTCCTGTAATAATTTAGTTAGAAACTAACTACTAACTAGTCCTTGGAATTAGTGACCCATGGAGACAGTATTTATCAATTTATGTATACATTCTATTGATTTCTCAAATAAGAAAATGACTTATGTGTACTTTTCTTTCTCTTGTATTCTGATTGCCCTTTATCCCAAGTGCTTACTAAAAATTCCATTGTAGATACTCTTTCTGACAGGTGACACTACAGTCTTATAATACTGTCATTGTGTATATACAAGTTTTCCCTTTTTATTATCATCTGAGATCACTTTCTTTCTGGCACCTAGCATATTAGAATCTGAGAAACTGTACAATATGCCAGCAAGTTTTCTTTTTTAATATTTTAATTTGCATTTCTAATAGGTATATTCTCTGTTTTGCAAGATTTTGGCACTGTATTTCCCTGGGAAGTAAAAATAGAATTGCACATGTGATTTCAGATTAAATGAAAAGTACCTGTTTGAGCTGGTCAGCTGAGGGGTACATGTGAAAGTATGGGTTCAAATTCAATTGCAGTTAGTCTCTGCTAGTGTCATTCACAGCAGTTCACACACTAAGCTGTCTTGCTCCTGTTTTGAAGAGGTTAGTTTCATTGACATTATTATATTCCTTGGGGTCCCTCTCCCACATGTCTGCATAGAAAGGGAATTAGAGCATGCTTTTTAAAGCCAATAGGAATTGTTTGGAATGATCATATCTACTTGTTCACTGTGGCTCTACATTCCTGGTGAATGATGAATGTGCCTGTCAAAGGCTGCTCCCCTCCCTTGTGAGGGTTGCTCGGCTTTGATGGCAAGAAGATTTTAAAGTGTAGACTGAAGTTGGATTTAAAATTTAGGTCTGTGAACCTAGTGATAAAGCAAAGCAAAGGTTCGTTTTTGTAAATAATACTGGTTGAGTGATGTTAGACGTATCTTAATTTATGATAAAGAGATTAATCTCTATGCGTAGTTTTAGACAAAAACAGTTTCAATAAAAGATTTCTGTCTTGTAATATAAATGTTGTCCACTGCCCTTTTTCACAGGTCTGGAACAGTTAGAGAGCATGGAATTGTACATGCTCTCGCTTAAATGTGAATCAAGGCCAAAAATTATGGCTCATTCTTTACTGAATTGGGGAATTTGATTACTCGGTGTATTTATATTTGTTTCTTCTATTCCCCTTAATGTTACTTAATCTTCTTGTTTTAAACTAATGTGAACAGTAGGGAAATAAGGGCCCAAATGCATAAGTTTCTTTGCACTTTTGCACCATCCCACCTCCTTAATACAAATAAACATTTAAAAGCTTTTGCAGTTACTTTTATGAGTTAATGTCCTAATGATAGAGGTATTACATAATGTACTGCCTAAGAAAAACAGACCTGGAGGAAGGCTGGACACCAGGTAAGGACTGTGGAACAGGTGTTGCTGCCCTTTGAAAAACAGGACCTAGAGCCAAATGTGGTTTGCACACAACTGTAATCCTAGAACCTGAGAGGACGAGGCAGGAGGATTGTGAGTTCAAGCCAGCCTGGAATTCATAACAAGTGTAAGACCTGACCCTGTCTTCAAATAGATAGGAAAGGAAAAGGGAAGACAGAGCTGTTTTGGTGGCACAGTGGCCCAAGCAGCAACTTCAGAGAGAATTTCCTGGTTCTCAGATTATAGGTGGACTTGGATACATCATTTGTAACTTTTCCAAGAAAGAAAAAAAAGGATCTGTTGTGGAAAACTATTTGAGAAAATAAAGTGATCGTAGTTCCATAATACCATGTGCTTGATCCAGTGGTGATTGTAATGATGATCACGGGAGAATACATGCCAGTTGCCAAAGAAGTTCTAATAAACCTATGCATAGAATCCTTATTTGTGCCTTGATTATCTTTGGAGGCACTGTGGTCTGACACAGTGGTTCTGAACTATGCTTTCACAGTAGAAATGGTTAAAAATACTGATGCCTCACCTCCCTCCCCCAACCCAAAGAGTCAAATTTCATTTGTCTGAGATATATCCTAGGCATAGGAATCTATTAAAGCTCCAGATAAGGGGCTGGAGAGATGGCTCAGTGGTCAAGAGCACTGACTGCTCTTACAGAGGACCCAGGTTCATTTCCCAGCACTCACATGGTGGCTAACAGCCATCTGTAACTCCAGTTTCAGGGGATCCAACACCACCTTCTGACCTCGGGCATTGCATGACACCGGTGCACTTATACACATGCAGGCAATACACTCATAAAATAGAAATAATAAAATTTTTTTTGTTTTTTGAGATGGGGTCTCCTTGTAGCCCCAGCTGCCCTGGAACTCACTATGTAGAACAGGCTGGCCTCGAACTCACAAAGATCCGCCTGCCTCTGCCTCCCAAGTGCTGGGACTAAAGGCGTGCGCCACCACGCCCGGCTTAAATTTTTTTTTTTTTTAAAAAGCACCAGATAAGATTGTGCAGCCGTGGTTGAGAACCATTGGTTTAGAAGTAAAAACCCACACCAGGATGCAGAAGACCTGGAGAGTCCAATCCCACCATTAACTTGTGAGGGTATTTGGACAAGTCACTTAATCCATTAAGCCCCAAGATTTTTCAATAGTTTTAAAAATTTTTATTATTTATTTATTTTTAGGTCTTTTTGAGATAGGGTCTCCCTGTATCCCCAGCTGGCCTGGAACTTGCCATGTAGACCAGACTGGCCTAGAACTGACAGAAATCCACCTGCCTCTGCCTCCCAAGTTGTGGAACAAAAGGTGTGCGCCACCATGCCCGGCAGCTTTTTTTTTAACTATAGAATTCCTAAGATTGTAAGAACTATAAAATCCCTAAGGTTGTATATCCGAACATACAAATGGCAAATATGTTTCTGTTTTGGGAATGATTCTTTGCATTTTGCATCTCCTGTTCAGCTTCCTGTATTGAAATAACTAGGAGCACTGAGTACTCTCCAGCACTCTTAAAATGGATTAGTGCTATATAGGGTAAAGTAGAAAGATTTTTGCCACTTCATTAGTAATGTTTCACAAAAAGAATTTGCTAAATACTAGATTGGTGCTCTCAGAGCAGGTGTGTGTGCATGTGTGTACATGTGTGCTTACACACGCATGCATGTTTTATTTTTGCTAAGGAAGTGTTCGCCCACTTAATGTATAGTCTGTCTCTTGAGCCAAACTTACATTGTTTTAACCTTGGGCAAAAACCTCAAAATTAAATTACCATTTACTCTGTGCAAAGTAAAACATTGAGCCTCTCACATTCAAATGTTTTGTTGTTTGTTCATTTATTTTCTAGTCAGAGCCTATCCTTAGTCATAGGAATGGACTTTGTGTTTGGTCACTAAGTGCAGACCACATACAGTTCAGGTCGTGTTTCAGTCCATCCTGTTCCCTAGGGCTGGAATCACCTGCTCTTCTTCCCTGCTTTTCCAAATATGGATAGTACATCCCTGCCTTCAAAGGATATTTTCAATATTGCTTTCTAGCACTACAAAATACAAGTCTTTTAAAATCTCCACTTAACTAGGATGTAGTTTGAAAGATTTTTTAAAAATTTTTATTATTTTTATGTATATGAGTGTATTGCCTGCATGTATGTGAGTGCACCCATGTCGTGCAGTGCCGCGGAGGTCAGCAGCGGGTTTCAGATTCCCCTGGAACTGGAGTTAAGGATGGTCCATAGCCGCCATGTGGGTGCTGGGAATCAAACCCAGGTTCTCTGCAAGAGCAGTCAGTGCTCTTAACCGCTGAGCCATCTCTCCAGCCCCCTGAAAGATTAAAAAAAAATTTTTTTTTTGGTCCTTTTTTGAGACAGGGTCTCCCTGTAGCCCCAGCTGGCCTTGAACTCACAGAGATCTGCCTGCCTCTGCCTCCCAAGTGCTGGGATTAAAGATGTGCGTCACCACACCTGGCACTAAAAAAAATTTTATTTTTGTTTTATGTGTATCAGTGTATTGCCTGCACATATATAAGTGTACCCATGTGTTGCAATGCCTGTGGAGGTCAGAAGAGAGCATCAGATCCCCTGGAACTGGAGTTATAGATGGTTGTTAGCCACCATGTAGGTGCTGGTAACTGAACCCTGGTCCTCTGCAAGAGCAGCCAGTGCTCTTAACCTCTGAACCATCTCTAGACTCAAAAGGTTTTTTTAAAGAAGAATGAACACAGATTAGGAAAAAGTTAGAACTCCTGGAAGTGGCAGGGGAGGAATACTCTAGAGTGAAAGATTCTGATTCACAAATCTTGATCTCTTAGACCGAGTATTTTATTTTTTAAAATTAATTTTATGTGTATGAGTGTATTGCTTGTATGTATGTATGTATCTGTGCCGTGCAATGCCTTTGGGGGCCAGAAGAGGGCAGAAGATCCCCTGGAACTGGAGTTAAAAGATGGTAGGTAGAGGCTATGTAAATGCTGGGAACCAAACGTAGGGTCTCTGAGATAGCAACCAGTGCTTTTAACTGCTAAGCCATCTCCCCAGCTTCTGAGTAGTTAGTTCATTTTAATACTTAACCAAAATGAAGTTTAACTCACAATGTAGCAAGCATTTAATATTTAAAGAATAAATGTAAGCCAAACGTGGTCAACTTGTCTTTAATCCCAGCACTGGGGAGGCAAAGGCAGGTGGATATCTGAGTTCAAGGCTAGCCTGGTCTACATAGTGAGTCCCAGGCCAGTCAGGCACATAGTAAGACCCCACCTCAAAAAAACAAAAGATACAAAAGTAAATAGTAAACTGCCAGGCAAACACCACTTAGCAGATAAAGACATTAGCTGCGAAGCCTGATGAAATCAGTTAGATCCCCAGGTAGAAGGAGAAAACCAATTCTCACAAGTTATCCTCTGACTTCCACTTATATATCATGGCATGCATCCTCCCCCCCCCCAAAAAAATAAATGTGACAGAGAAAGAATCAACTTGTAACAAGTTTTAGAGTTACATTATGATTAAGGACCAAATTCTTACCAGTCCTTGGAGAAATGAGAATAGTGATATAGTGAGGTTTTTTTTTTTTTTTTTTTTTTTTAAGATTTATTTTTATGGGGCTAGGGAGAGAGTGCAGAGGTTAAGAACACTGTTCTTGCAGAAGACCGAGGCTCAAATCCCAGCACCCACATGGCAGCTAACAACTGTCCTTAACTCCAGTTCCAGGGATCCGACAGTCTCTTCCCTCTTCCTTGCGCACTGCATGACATGGGTGCACTTACCTACATGCAGGCAATACACGCATACACATAAAATAAAAATAAAATATTTTTAATAAAGATTTATTTTTATTTTACATGGATGTTTGCCTTCATGAAGGCCTGGTGCCTTCAGAGGCCAGAAGAGAACATCAGATCCCCTGGAACTGGAGGTACAGATGGTTGTAAGTCATATGGGTGCTGGGAGCCAAATTTGATCCTCTACAAGTACTCTCTTATTCATTTTTGTCTTTTTTGAGACTGGGTTTCCCTGTAGCCCCAGCTGGCCTGGAACTCACTATATAGACCAGGCTGGCCTTGAACTGACAGAGATCTGCCTGCCTCTGCCTCCTGAGTGCTGGGATTAAAGGTATGCACCACCACACCCTGCCAATATTCTCTTTTTTTAAAGATTTGTTTTTATGTGTATGAGTTGCATTTGCCTGTATTTGCACCTGGTGCCCACAGAGACCAGAAGAAAGTTCAGATCCCCTGGAACTGGACTTATGGATAGTTGTTAGCTGCCATGTGGATGCTGGGAACTGAACCCAGGTCCTCTGACAGAGCATCCAGTGCTCTTAACCATTGAGCCATCTCTCCAACCCTTAAGGTGTTTTGTCTTTTAAGTTCTATCTGAGATAATGCCCTTCCAACTTTTTTTTTGTGGGAGGGGACAAGAGGAAGTGCACATGTATGTGTAGGTGCATGTGTGTGGATATGTGAAGGTGAATCTTACATGTGTAGGTCAATGGAGAACCTCTGGTGTCATTCCTCTTTCATCTTTTGTTTGGGACAGTGTCTCTTGTTGACCTGAACTTGCCAAGTAGGCTAGACTAGTAGGATAGAAGGCTTCCAGAGTTCTGCCTGTCTGCTACCCATCTCTTCACTGCTGGGGCAGTTCTATACCCATTTCTGTTGCATGGGTTCTAAGAGTTTCAAACCCAGGCCATCACTCTTTGGAGGCAAGTGCTTTACTGGCTAAGCCATCTCCTCAACCTCCCCATTTCTCCCCACACTCACTTTTTGGTGGTGGTGCTAGAGAACAAACCTAGGGCTTCAAACTTGTCTTTCACAAGTACCGGGATGCAAGCCCCAGTGCCACAAAACAAACAAAAGATATTTTTAAAATACTTTACTTAGAGCCAAGTATGGAGGCACATGCCTTCAATCCCAGCACTCAGGAGGCAGAGACAGAGATCTCTGTGAGATCAAGGCTAGCCTGGTCTACTGAGTGAGTTCCAGGCTAGCTGTGGCTACAGGGAGACCCTGTCTCAAAAAGACCAAGATTAAATAAATAAAATCTTTGTGGCTGAAGAGATGGCTCAGTGGTTAAGAACACTGGTTGTTCTTCCAGAAGACCCAGGTTCAAATCCCAGCACCCACATGGCAGCTAACAACTGTCCAAAACTCCAGTTCCAGGGGCTCCAACAGCCTCTTCTGTCCTCCGTGGGCATTGCAGGACATGGGTGCACTTACCTACACACAGACAATACACATAAAATAAAAAATATTAAAAATGAAGTCTTTATTTTATGTATATGAGTGTATTGCCTACGTGTATGTAAGTGCATCCATGCTGTGCAGTGCCCATGGAAGTCAGAAGAGGGTGTCAGATCTCTTGGAACTGTGGTTAAGGATGGCTGTTAGCTACCATGTGGGTGCTGGGAACTGAACCCAGGTCCTCTGCAAGTGCAGCTGGCACTCTTAACCACTGATCCATCTCTCCAGCCCCCAACAAAGGATGTTTTAATGTTACTAAAATGAGAAGGTAGGGCTTGGTGTATAACTCAGTGGTAGAGTGCTTGTTCTACATAGGTGAAGCCCTGGGTTCAATCCCAAGCACTGAAAAACAATGGTGATTATGTTAGATGGCAAACTTCATTTGTAACCCTCAAATGGCAATAAAAGTTTCACCCCTATATCTCCTCTCCTCCCATCAAAAGGTCAAAGACTGGAATGGTAGTCTGATACAGGAATTTAAAGGTTTGAGGAGGTACTTTGCATGTGGATGTCATCTGTGGAATATTTGAATACTGCCAGCAAACTACTGTGTTTAAATTTTTTATTTTAGGTCTTTTTGAGACAGGGTCTCCCTGTAGCCCCAGCTGGCCTGGAACTTGCTGTGTAAATGAGGCTGGCCTGGAACTCACAGAGATCTGCCTGCCTCTGCCTCCCAAGTGCTGGGATTAAAGGCATGCACTACCACACATGGCAAAATTTTTATTTTTATGTGTATGTTTTGCCTGTGTGTGCATAAGTGCACTTGTGTGTGCAATGCCCACAAAAGCCAGAAGAGAGTATCGTATCCCTGGGAACTGGTGTTGCAGACAGTTGTTAGCTGCCATGTAGATGCTGGGAACTGAACCTGGGCCCACTGCAAGAGCAGTCAGTGCTCTTAACGATGAACCATCTCTCCAGTCCCTTAATTTTTTTTACACACTTAATGTATATCCATAACATTATTACAGATATACATTATTATTCAATTTTTTTTTCTTATGTCTCATTTAAAATTTTTTAATTATGTTTATTTATTTGGGGGGTGGAGGTGTAGGGACCATGTCATGGTGTGCATGTGAAGGTCAGAGGACAATTTGCAGGAATCAATTCTCTCCTTCCACCACGTGGGTTCTGGAATCCAACTCAGGTTGGTAAGCTTGGTGCAAGCACCTTTACCTGCTGAGCCATCTTGATGGTCCTTGTGCACCCTTTTAATGCATGAGGAAACAGAGACAAAGGTTATTTGCCCATGATCACGCGACTTAGGATGGTGATCCATCTTGGGTGCTCAGACTTCAAAACCACCTTTTGACACTGGGATACGGTCTGTGTGCAGCACTGACATGAACTGTCCTGCTCACCACCTCTTCCATACTGCTTTCTCTGAAGAAATCTGGAGAAATGGCCATTTGGACTTTTTTTCATGAACATCTCTTCCACCAGCACCTTGTGCACTTTTCACTTATCACCCTGCTAAAGGAAGCTCCTGCACATTATGTCTACACATACAGTTATTTCATTGTCTTAATTTGATCATACTAAAGAGATTTTAAGCTTTTAAAAAAGATTTAGCCGGGCGTGGTGGCACACACCTTTCATCCCAGCACTTGGGAGACAGAGGCAGGCAGATCTTTGTGAGTTCGAAGCCAGCCTGGTCTATATAGTGAGTTCCAGGACAGCTGGGGCTACAAGGAGACCCTGTCTCAAAAAGACCAAAAAAAAAAAAAAAAAAAAAGGGGGGGGCGGGGGGGGGCTCAGCGATTAAGAACACTGGTTGTTCTTGCAGAAGACCTGGGTTCGAATCCCAGGACCCACATGGTAGCTAACAGCTGTCAGTAACTCCAGTCTCAGGGGATCTTACAGCCTCTTCTGACCTCCGTGGGCATTGCACAACATGGGTGCACTTACCTACATGTAGGCAATACATGAATACACACAAAAAATAAAAATTTTTAAAAAAATACTTTGTGTGTGCAGTTTGTGTGTTCATGCCATATGTCGATGCCCATGGAGGCCAGAGGATGGCATTGGATCCCCTGGAGCTGAAATCACAGGCTGTGAGCTGCCTGCTGTGGGTTCTGGTAAACAAACTTGGGTCCTCCAGAAGAGCAGCAAGTGCTCTTTTTTGTTTTTGTTTTTGTTTTTTAGGGTCTCCTTGTAGCCCCAGCTGTCCTGGAACCCACTATGTAGACCAGGCTGGCCTTGAACTCACAGAAATCCGCCTGCCTCTGCCTCTGGAGTGCTGGGACTAAAGGCGTGCGCCACCACGCTAGGCCTAGTCCCAGATTTTTTGTTAGCCACCATGTGGGTGCTGGGAACCAAACCCAGGTCATTTGCAAGAGCAGTCAGTGCTAGTGCTCTTAACTGCTGAGCCATCTCTCCAGCCCCAAACATATTTTGTTATATTTGAAAATCTTTTGAGACTTCTTCATTTCTTCCCCCAAATTATATCCTTATGCTTCAAGAAGGAAGTCATAAGATTATTTGCTTTCTTAAAATCAAGTTTAGAATTAGGATTTTTTTTTAACCCTATCAGTCACAACACTGAAAAGGAGGATATTGAGAGTGCATTTGATTTTGGTTTTGATTTTTTTCTTTTTATTGAGACAGAGTCTCATGTAGCTCAAGCTGGTTCCCAAACTGGCTACTGAGCTGATCTTGAGCTTCTGGTCCTCCTGCCTCTACCTCCTGAGTGCTGAGATTACAGGAATGTGTTACAACACCCAGTTTTGTGTTGCTGGGTCTCCAACCTAACTGTGAGTGCTGGGCAAGCTGCAGTTATGTCCCCAGCCCTTACCTATCATTGATATGTGATCTAATTAGTTGCCATTCTTGCTGGATGAGTTTGTGCTTTGAAGGTTATGTTATGTGGATATGCATGTATGTATGTGGTATTATAAAGACCAGATGTTTTTCTCAATTGCTTTCTACTTTATTGAGATGGGCTATCTCACTGAACATGGAGTTGACCAATTCAGCCATGCTCTTTGGCCAGTAAGCCCCAGAGACCCTCTTGTCTCCACCTCCTCAGCATTGGGATTACTTGGCTTTAAAATTTTTTTTTAAATTTACTGTGTTTAGATGGGTGGGGTGCCCATTCCACAGTGTGCATATGGAAGTCAGAGGATAACTTGCATGAGTTAGTTCTCTCCTTCCACCATGTGGGTTCTGGAGATTAAATAGTCATCAGGCTTGGCAGAAAGTGCCTTTACTCACTAAGTCATCTCCCCATCCCCGTACCTGGCCTTTTGTTGTTTGCTTTTGAGACAGGGTCTCCCTTTAGCCCCAGCTGTCCTGAAACTCACTAGGTAGACCGGACTGGCCTTGAACTTGGATTCATCAGTCTCTTCCTCCCAAGTGCTGGGATTAAAGGTATGTGCCACCATGCCCAGCTGGCGTCCAAATTTTTACTGGTCATGGTTGAAGTTGTTAATCAAGTTGTGGCCTCTTAGGATTTTTTAAATTTGGGTTATAGTGACTACACTGTGCAAGAAAGCTTTGGGGTTGTCACCTTCATTTTGGCCACTAGCTCTCTGATTGTAAGGGCTTTGTCTACTGAGTGCTTACTGGGCAAGCATATCTTTTATATTCATCAACTCACTTAATCTTTCCAACACTCAAGATCAGAATAATTATGATTCCTGAGGAGAGGATCAGAGAAATTGAGCTGTCCAGCCTCACTCTAAAACGAGTGGCATTCAAACCTGAGTATATGAAGCCAAAGGCCAAGCTCTATCCCTAGTCTCACACATTTCTGTTGACACACCCTTTTTAGTATGCACCTGGTGTCCCCTTTTTTCACCTTTGCAGAAAACGAGGTGCAGATTTGACAGAGGTTGTTTGTTTTTAAAGAAACAAATCGTAAGCCGGGTGTGGTGGTGCATGCCTTTAGTCCCAGCACTCCGGAGGCAGAGGCTGGTGGATCTCTCTGAGTTCAAGGCCAGCCTGGTCTACATAGCGAGTTCCAGACTAGCTGGGGCTACAGGGAAACCCTGTCTCAAAAAAAAGACCCCCCCCCCAAAAATGTAGTCAAGCACCTCTGAAATCCCAGCACATAGCGAGGTACAGGCAGGAGGAACAGGAGTTCAAGACCAGCTTCAGCCACATAGTGAGTTGGAGGCCAGCCTGGGCTACTTGCGAGCCTATATTTTTTTTAATGGAGCTGGAGGGATGGCTCAGCGGTAAAGAGCACTGGTTGCTCTTGCAGAGGACCCGAGTTTGATTCGCAGCACCCACATGGTGGCTGTCTGGAACACCCGTTCCAGGGGATCCGACACCTTCTGACCTCCATGGTCATCGCACGATACGGGTGCACTTACATGCAGGCAATACACTCACATAAAAATAATTTTTAATTAAAAAAATTTTTAATTAAAGTTTAATTCAGATTCCCAGCACTTACTTTAAAATAACGAGGACCTCCCAGCACTCAGGAGGTAAAGGCTGGCGGATCTTTGTGAGTTGGAGGCCAGCCTGGTCTCATAGTGAGTTCCACGCCAGCTGGGGCTACAGGAAGACCTGGTCTCAAAAAAAGACAAAAACAAAAATTTGGACGCCTTTTCAGTTTGGACCTGCTCTTGGCTCCAGCATGTCCAAGAGTTTTCATAATCTTAGATGACCTCTAACTCAGATTCCTAACTATCCATAGAGGCCCTTAGGTTTAGGTAATTACTAATGCTGGGGACTGAACCCAGGGCTTCATGCATGCATGCTGCGCACACTGCCGCTGAGCTACACCCTAGACTTGGACTAAAAAGGACAAATGATAAGGATGCCGGAAGAAGAGAAATAGGACGAGCGATCACCCGTCTCCATCAATCCCTAGCTTTCCCTAAAATGCAGTGCCCAAGGCTGGCGGAGGAGTCCTGGGGTGGATGCCGATTACAAGGCCACTAGCAGAAGAACGTTGGAAGAAACTGACACCTCCGGACAACCCCCTTCGGGCAGCTGAAGACCAAGAAGAGCCCCCAGCCTCGAGAAATTCCCAGAAGCCAACAACACCAAAGATCTCAAAACCCCCAAGGCCCCACCTCAGGCACCGCAAACCGGGCGAGCTTCGGAGTGCGCATGCGCGCGCGTGCGCCCGCGCAGGCTGCCGGGATGCCACCTCTCCCCTCACTTCCATCCAGTTTCCCGGCGTGCTTCGGGCCCGCCAAATGGGAGGGGGAGAAGCAAGATGGCGGCAGCCGCGAACTCCGGCTCCAGCCTCCCGCTGTTCGACTGCCCGACCTGGTGAGTGGCGGGGTGGCTGTGGCCTGAGCCGGCTGGCCCGAGCCACCCCAGACTGGAAGCGAGGGTCATGTGTGTGTGAGCGGCTGAACGAACGGCGCGAAGAGTCCGGCATGGTGGGGGGAAAACTGTCCGCTGTGAGGGGCCGGGGCGACGTGTGGAGGAACCTGCAGCCGGGGCCCAGGAACAGAGCGCAGAGTTGAGGGGCTTCGAGGCGCTCACGTACTATAGCCCTTTGTGGGTTAGCCGCCCGCCGGGGTGCTTCGGGGCCTCGGCGCCTAACTTCGCCTTAACTCCTCACTGAGTGCCGGGTGCACTGAGGGAGCACGTACCTGTCCCCAGCCAAGGTCCCGGGCACGCATGAACTGGCCACCCGCCTCAGCCCAGCCTGCATCCTGCGTCCTGCATCCCTCCGGTTGCTGCATCCTGCATGCGGTGCTGGTTCAGCTCCCGAGGACTGGGTGCTTCCTGAGGGCAGGAATGGCGCGGAGCTATCCCCTTGTTCTCGGTAACCAGACGAGCACGGAGCCTGGCACAAAAGGCACTAGTTATTGGAATATACTCTTTTCAACCCTTAGAAGTTCGTGGGAATAGTAGGGTACACGACGACCAAATATGAATGGTCGTGTACGGGGATGCATCCGAGTTAAGGGCTTTTTCTGCTGGGGCGCTGAACAATTACTAACATGTTACTTCTCTACCTTCTGTTCTATTGCGCTCTTCAAGGGCAAAAACCCATGCATCATTCCCAGCTCCAAGGCCTGAGTCAGGCAAACGATAAGAGTTCAGAAAGTGTATTTTGGATTTAACGTTCATTTCTCCTCCTTTCCCGGACAAAATTGGGCTTTTGTCCAGTGCACTGTCCTTTTAGCTTCTGCCATAAAAAGGTTGAAGAAGAATTATGAGATGACTGTGTTGAATCTTCAATTAGATAGACAGGATATATTTCTTCTCTGCAAATACAAGGGCCCTGGAAGGTTCAAATGAGGAAACCCAGGAAACAAGTGAATATTTGGCTGATATTTGTTCTTTTATAAAACATCCATTTGTTTTGGCCTACAAATTATTTCTCTACTTTGGTCCCTGGCTTCACTGATTTCAAATATGGGCCAGGACAGCAAATATGAGACTCTTTTGAAATCACCTACCATATTCTTAGAATCTGGTGTGTACAAGGAATTGTGTCAGGTGTTTTGGCGTACAGGCATCCCCCTTGAATGATACAGCAAAGTAGAGAGAAAAGTTTGATGAATTATTGTCATAGAAAGACCTGTTCAAGGGTAATGCACCTCTCTTACTCATTTGGTACTTGGTTTCACAGGCATTTTGATTTTGATTTGCCCTAGTTCCCTAATTCTGAATCGCTGATTTAGTCTCAAGACTAAATAGTTTTTACTCTTTTTTTTTTTTTTTCTGTCTTTTTGAAGCAGGGTCTCCCGGTAGCCCCAGCTGTCCTAGAACTCACTCACTATGTAGACCAGGCTGGCCTTGAACTCACAGAGATCTGCCTGCCTCTGCCTCCCAAGTGCTGGGACTACAGGCGTGCGCCACCATGCTCCGCGGTTTTTACTCATTTTAATGAGACTAATATCAATCAACCCAAAACAACTGCTTCTTTGTTTGGTTTAGTGGGCTTTTTGTTGTTTTGTTTTCTTTTTTCTTTTCTTTGAGACAGGATATCCTTATGTGGTCCTGGCTGTCCTGGAGCTTTCTGTGTATGCCAGGATGGTCTGGAATTTGCAGTGATCCTCCTGGTAGAGCACTACACCCAGCAAAACAGCAACTGGTTTATATGATACTAGAATAATAGTAAACCTTAGATTAAAACTCCAGATTAAAATCAGCATCATGGTGTGTGCCCTGTAATCTCAGCAGTAGGGGGTAGAAGCAGGAGGGTCAGAAGTTCAAGGTCATCATGAGCTATAAATCCATTGGAATTTGGGACTAGCTTACTGTTCACAAGACCTTGTCTCTTAAAAAAAAAAACAACAACAATGGGACTGGAAAGATGGCTCAGCAGTTAAGAACACTGGTTGTTCTTGCAGAAGACCTGGGTTCGAATCCCAGAACCCACATGGCAGCTAACAGCTGCCCTTAACTCCAGTCCCAGGGGATCCGACAACCTCTTCAGACCTCCTCCGGTATTGCAAGACACGGGTGCATTTACCTGCATGCAGACAATACACGCATACACATAAAACAAAAATAATAAAATTAAAAACAAAACCAACAACAACGAAAATGCTCCAGGTAATCAGACATCCCCAATTATAGTACTTGCACTCTGGGCTGCTTTTTCTCTGAAGTGTATCCAGTGTTAAAATATGGATTTCTTTGGTGTGCTCTAAATACATATCCACCAGAATCTCTTTTAGAGCTATTGAATCACTTGGGCAATAAGTAAGCTTAGAACGGAGCTGTAACAGTGAAGTACATGACATTTCTGCTTGAACATGAACTAATTATAGGCTGGTAGAGCTGCTGTGTTGAATGGACAGTGCTTGCAAGTAACATTTACGAACTCATCCTAAAAATGCTGTTTTTGCTCCTCTTTTTCAGGGCAGGTAAACCCCCACCTGGTTTACATCTGGATGTAGTCAAAGGAGACAAACTAATTGAGGTATTGAAACCCCCTCCTTAAATATTTTTCTAGTGACTTAACTTTTCTGTCCCTCTCCTGTGCTTTGTTTTCCAGCAATGCTACTTTCTTCCTGATTTTTTTTTTTTTTTTTTTTTGTCTATTAAACGCTATAGGGGCTAGGGATACAGCTCAGCAGTAGAGTACCTGCCTAGTATGCTCAAGACCCTGGGTTTAGTCCTCAACACTCAAAGCGCTTATCTCCCACAGATAACTAGGCCTTTTGCTACTTCTCTCACCTTCCAAGTGAAGTCTTCATAGGTTATGAGCTTGAGGGGCCACGTCAACTGGAAGCCTAATAACTTAGTGAATTTCTCTTTCTCATACATGGAGTTATATGGGATACACAAGTTTGCAATAACTGAAGAAGATGATGTATGATGTAAACTGAGTTTAGTTTTTAAGTTATTTTGTGAGATTCAGACCCAGTTCCTTCTAAGAAGTGTGACACTTGCTCAAAAAAGAGAATGAAATGGAGGTAAAATTCATTCATTTGAAACCAGTGGGAAAGACAGAATCACACAAAAAATTACATCATTATAAGTAGCATAAAAGAAAAGCTGAGTGGAATCCCAGCTCCCACACTAATGCACACATAGACTTTAGTTGAGTGGAGTCCCAGCTCCCACACTAAATGCACACAGGGAGTTAGTTGAGTAGAGTCTCAGCTTCCACACTAATGTACACATAGACCTTCACAAGAATATCAATTAGCTATTAGATTGTGGTTTTTTTTTTTGTTTTTTTTTTAAATTTATTTTAAGACAGGGCCTCATTTTGTAGCCACACTTTCCCAAAACTCACTATGCAGCCCTGGCTCATCTCAAACTTGTTTCAGTCCTTCTTCCTTAGTCTCCCAAGTGCTGAGATTTTAAGTCTGAGCCACACCTGGCTTATATGTTTAAGATCTGTAGTTATTTACCAAGAAACAGGATAAGCCATTAGGTTCAAGGTTCTATCTTTTTCTCTGGCTGCAAACATATGCCATGGTGCGTGGGTGGGGGTCAGAGGACAGTTTGTGGGAGTTGGTTCTCCTTCCTCCATGTGGATCCTGGGGTTTGAACTCAGGTCCTCAAGCCTGGCAGCAGCATGAAATTATATAAAAACCTATCTTGTGGGCTGGGGAGATGTCTCAGCATGTAAAAGTACTTGCTACACAAACCCAACGACTTGAGTTTGATCCCCAGAACTCAGCATAAACATGGAAGGAGAGAACTGACTCCACGAAGTTGTCTTCTGACCTCCTCAAGCACCACCCCCATATACATACACACACAAATAAGTGAAAAAAATTTTAAGTCTATTTTTATTTTATGTGTATGCATGTATTGCCTGCATGTAGGTAGGTGGACCCGTGTCATGCCCGAGGAGGATAGAAAAGGCTGTCGGATCCCCTGGAACTGGAGTTACAGACAGTTGTTAGCTGCCATGTGGGTGCTGGAATTCAAACATGGGTCTTCTGCAAGAACAACCAGTGTTCTTAACTGCTGAGCCATCTTTCCAGCCCTAAGTCTATATTTTTAAAGTCTATTTTGTTACTAGAGTTTAGTAAGCCTTTAGTTTGCAACAAGAGGACACAGGCAAGGAAGCCTAGTGATGATATCACATTCCTTTGTGGAACAATTTATATTTTCAGAGTACCTCTACCTTAACGCAGCAGCCCTCTGATTGCTGGATTCCATTTGCTGATAACTTTCCCTGTCTCAGCCCCTATGACTGCTGAGTTGGTACATGGTTGTTGGGTAAAAATCCTTAGATATCCCTATACTGCTCTTGACAGGAATAAACTTGAGCCGTGTGTCTTTGTGTATTTACTTTGCTGTGCTAGGGATCAAACAAGGATCTCATGCACACTAGGCAAATGTTCTACTACTTACCTGTACCCTAGCCCAGATGTATTTATTTTTAAGGACTTAGACTTGATCAGCACTTGATACTAACCGAGCTATCTATATCCTAGTCTTGTGTCAGAGGCTTGTGATATGTTGTGATAGCTGGGTTGAAAAAGTGCAAAATTAAATCAAAAGCCATGAGTCTTTTAAGCCCAGTGTGTAAAGACACATTCTGAGTTATAGCTCAGAGGCACAACTGAAAAGTGATCAGCCATAACTAGTCAGAAAGTATGCCTTAGTGTCCCGAAAGAACAATGTATGTATGATTCACCTTTTTAACTCTTTCCTTAATTCTTTTTTGTTTGTTTGTTTTTATTTTTTTGACACAGGGTTTCCCTGTAGTCCCAGCTGACCTGGAACTCACTATATAGACCAGGCCAACCTGGAACTCACAGAGATCCACCTGCCTCTGCCTCCCATGTGCTGGGATTAAAGATGTGTGCCACCACACCCGGCTCCTTAATTCTAAGAGATACTATTTTCCATTAAAATTCTATTTTAACATTCCTGTGGTTGGGCTGTCTTTAGTAGTGAATGTGTGCCTTTAACCTGGGTCCTTTTTCTTACCTTTCCCCCTTAAATCCCTCAATCTCTGATAATGTCTTTTACACCTTAGAAACATAGAAATTTGGTCATTATTATATTAGAAACTGACAGCTAGAGGTTTTATATATTGCTTGTGACCCAGTGTGAACATTGGTTGTTAGCATATTTAGTTTACAGGAACCTCATCATTATACATATAAATATGAATGGGAAATGCAGTGAGATTCAACCTGAGGAAATGTTACCTTAGCACAAGATGTTGACATTTCAGAGCTCTCCTTTAATGCTAAAGTGAGATATTATTGTAGTGTTTTTTGAGAGAGTTTTGCTGTATAACCCAGATTGGCCTCCAGTGTGTGATCTTCCTTCCATAGCCTCCCAAGTGCTGGGATTATAGGTGTACTCCAATATGCTTAGCTTGAAATTTCTTTTCCCCTCCCTCCATTTTTTTTTTTTAAGCAAGGGACAAGGTCTCACTGTATATCCCCAGCTGGCCTAGAACTCATTATGTAGACCAGGCTACCCTCAAACTCAAAGAGATCTGCCTGCTTCTGCTTCCTGAGTGCTGAGATTTAAAGGTGACCCCTTTATAAAGTCTGACCCTTTTTTTGTTTTTGCTCTTAAAAAAAGAAAACAACCCCCCCCCAATGGCCTTTTGTGGTGGCATGCGCCTTAATCCCAGCACTAGGGAGGCAGAGGCAGGCGGATCTCTGTGAGTTCAAGGCCAGCCTGGTCTACATAGTGAGTTCCAGGCCAGCTGGGGCTACAGGGAGGCCCTGTCTCAAAAAGACCAGAAAAAAAAAAAAAAAAAAAAAAAAAAGCCAGGGTCAGGCTGTCCTGGAACTCACTGTGTAGCTCAGGCTGGCTTTGAATCCATGGTGACCCTCCTACCTCAGCTTCACAAATGCTGGATTTCTAAATGAGCCACTTCACCTGGTTTGCAGTGTCTTAGTCTTACTTACTATTAACTGAAGTCTTTTTCTGTTTTGTTTTGTTTTGTTTTGCTGAGACAAAGTCTCAGTATCTAGCCCTGACTGGCCTGGGGCTCACTGTGTAGACCAGGCTGTCCTGGAGCTTATTTTGATCCTTCTACCTCTTTTTCCTGAATGCTGGGATTACAGGTGTGTACAGCCATACTCCCCTTTAACCCATGTTTTAATACTAAGCTCGAAACTAATACTGAAAAAATAAAGTAGAATTTTAAAAGGGCTGGGCATGGTAGTGCATGGCTTTAATCTCAACATTTGGGAGGCAGAGGCAGGCAGCTCTCTGTGAGATCGAGGCCAGCCTGGTCTACATAGTAAGTTCCAGGCCAGCTGGGGCTATAGGGAGACCCTATCTCAATCCTGAGGTGACTGATTGAGCTGTTAGGTCACTGCAGAACTTTGGTGCTCTGTAGTAGGATGGCCCTGAAATGAGCTTTTCGCAGCTGGGCACTGCTGGACAGGCTCTCCCAGAGATTACCACATATCCAAGCAAGCTTGAACTGATTGAACCTTCAAACTAAACATGACAGAAACTGAGCAAGTGGTTAAGGAAATCAAGAATGTGACTGGTACTCACTCCCCAAAGTCTTCTTGTCTTGTGACTCACCTTTTAATGTCAGTAGAATAAGGAAAATATATGATGCAGTTGTTAAAATGCCCAAATTCTGGGCATGTAAGAGTTCTTCCTCTTTGTCCAGAGGACCCAGGTTCTGTTCCCAACACCCACATTGGGTGGCTCACAAATAACTCCTGATCAGGGAATCCAACACCCTCTTCTGGCCTTCACGGTCATTGCACAACACAGGTGTGCTTACATGCAGGCATAACTTCATACACAATAAATAAGAGACCGGGTCTTCCTGTAGCCCCAACTGTCCTGGAACTCACTATGTAGAACTGGCTGGCCTTGAACTCACAGAGATCCACCTGCCTCTGCCTCCCAAGTGCTAGGATTAAAGGCGTGCGCCACCATGCCCAGCATAAATGTTTTTTAAACTCTATAAAAATTAAGCTAAAAATAAATTGTTGTGTGGGGTGGTACACTTGCTATACCACATTCATATAGAGGTCAGATAAAAACTTTTTTAAAATTAATTAATTTATTTTGGTCCCTTTTTTTTTGGTCCCTTTTTTTTTGGTCTTTTTAAGACAGGGTCTCCCTGTAGCCTTAGCTGGCCTTAAACTCATAGAAATCTACCACCTCTGCCTCCCTAGTGCTGGAATTAAAGGCATATGCCACGACGCCCAGGTTAATTTATTATTTTTAATTTATTATTGCACTGGTTCACATGGGAGGATAGTAGCCCACTGTAAGTTCAAAAACTTAGGCAGGACTGACTCTTTAGTTCCTACCTAGCCTGATTCTAGTTTCACTATACATCTCAAATTTGTACTAGCTCTTCTCAAGGATCTTTTGTGTGTGTGTGTGTGTGTGCAAACAGGGCCTTGAACTTGGAATCATCCTGCCTGAATCTCTCAACTGCTGGGATTTTAAGTGTGTGCTACCATTCCTGGCTTCCCAGGAATTTTGAAAGGAGTATAGTGTAAAATGTGAACTAAGCCAGGACTGGTGGCAAATGCCTTTAATGCCGGGCGTGGTGGCACACGCCTGTAGTCCCAGCACTTGGGAGGCAGAGGCAGGGGGATCTCTGTGAGTTCAAGGCCAGCCTGGTCTACATAGTGAGTTCCAGGACAGGTGGGGCTACAGGGAGACCCTGCTTCAAAAAAACAAAAAACAAACAAAAAAATGTGAACTAGTTTAATAAGACCTGTGTTTAATGAAAAAAGTCAGCATATTAAATGAAGGTTAAGTGTGCACACTAGACCACTAACATTAGTCTAGACTACTAAAATTAGCAGAAGTATTAGTAATAATTCACCTTGTGTCCTCCATCTATGACTTTCTGGTTTGTAACCAGTTAATCTATGCCAAAGACTTTACTGACCCAGGATTAAAGAGGTATAAAAGATTTAAGAACATGGTGCTGGCCAGATGTGGCATACACCTTTAATCCCAGCACTGGCGAGGCAGAGGCAGGCACATTTCTGTGAGTTCAAGGCCAGCCTGGTCTACATATAGAGTTCCTGGCCAGCTGGGGCTACTGGGAAACCTGTCTCAAACAGACCAAAAGAATAAAGAAGTGTAAGAGCAGAACTGACTTTTTGAAAGAGCTGAATTCACTCAGAGAATGAGGTTTCTTGCCTCTTCCTACTCGTTTGCTAATAAAAAGACCTTTTAAAGTCTTGTTTTTTTTTTTGTTTTGTTTTGTTTTGTTTTGTTTTGTTTTTTTTTTTTGGTCTTTTTGAAGCAGGATCTATCTCCCTGTAGCCCCAGCTGTCCCGGAACTCTCTATGTAGACCAGTCTGTCCTTGAACTCACAGAGCTCCACCTGCCTCTGCCTCCCAAGTGCTGGGACTATAGGCAAGTGCCACCATGCCCAGCCAGGATTTTGGTTTTTTTTTTTTTGCAGGGAAGGGGAGAGGGCTTGTTGAATTTTTTTGTTTGTGGTGGTGGTGGTTCTTAGAATGCACAGGTGTTCTGTCACTGAGCTATATACGTAGCACAAAATTACTCTTTTTTTTGTGTGTATAAAATGATGGTGCTACTAATCTATGATAACGCTTTAAAATATCCTGGGGACAAAGGTATGTAGCTCAGAGATAGACTGTTTGCTTAGTTGACACAGAACCCCCAACATCATTACCAGAAAAAGTCCTTATTTGGCCAAAAAAAAAAAATTAATACTCCTGTGTCAGCACCTTTTCCCCTCTCAGTAATAATAATATGAATAATAGTTATTATTACAGCTAGAGATCAAACACAAGTCCTCATGCCCTGGTAGGTAAAGTTTCCGATCACTAAGTGATATCCCAGCTTCTCGCTACATATTTTTAAAAAATATTTTATTTAGCTGGGCGTGGTGGCGCACGCCTTTAATCCCAGCACTTGGGAGGCAGAGGCAGGCAGATGTCTGTGAGTTCAAGGCCAGCCTGGTCTACATAGTGAGCTCTAGGCCAGCTGGGTCTACAGGGAGACCCTGTCTCAAAAAGACAAAAAAAAAGAAAATTTATTATTTTTATTTTATGTGTTTGAGTGTATTGCCTGCATGTGTGTGAGTGTACCCGTGTCATGCAATGCTGCGGACATCAGAAGAAGGCTTTAGATACCCCTGGAACTGGAGTTAAGGATGGTTTGTAGTCTCCATGTGGGTGCTGGGAATCGAACCCAAACCCAAGTCCTCTGCAAGAGCAGTCAGTGCTCTTAACTGCTCAGCCATCTCTCCAGCCCCCCTCCATATATTTTTAATAGTAGTGTGTTAAAATCACCTTTTCTGTTATTTTATGTGAGTGTTGTTGGATGACATTTTTTGTTTCAGTTTTTTTCCTTTCTGATGCTACAGCAGCAGGTGAAAACTTTGTGGAGCTCTTCTCTTAAAATTCTTCCAGACCATGGAATACTGTGTTATAAGCCAGCCATGCTTGGGCTGAGATACAATCTTTTGTCCTGAGATACAATCTCATCATGGAGCCCCTGCTGGCCAGGAACTTAGAATTTGCCTCAGCCAACCAATAGCTGGGATTACAGGCATGTACCACCAATCCTGGCTTACCGCTCTGCTGCATAGTGAGCCAGACCACTCACTTTGAATGAACCAGACTTTGAATGACTAGTTTCATCTTTCTCATCTGTCTTAACTTTCTTTTTGTTTTTTGTCTTTTTGAGACAGGGTCTCCCTGTAGCTACAGCTGGCCTGGAACTCACTATGGAGACCAGGCTGGCCTCAATCTTACAAAGATCCTCCTGCCTCTGCCTCCCACGTTTGAGGATTCCAGGCGTGTGCCTCTATGCCCTGCTCTTATCTTACTTGTGTGTGTGCATGCGTGTGTGTGGCAGGCAGAAGATAACTTGCAGGAATCAATTTTCTCCTTCCATCATGTGGGTCCTGGGTATTGAACGCAGTTGTCAGGCTTGACAGCAGGTGCCTTTATTGACAGAGCCATCTCTCTGACCTCTGTCCTTTTATCATGAAAATGATACTTGTTTTACACTATTTTAGAATTGATGATTTTTAAAACACTTTTAATAAATGTTAATCCTTACATGCCCTTCCTTCAAACCTGGAAAGTCTATGCCACATGAGGCAATTCCATATTTGGACATAGTAAATATTCATTTAATGCTAAATAATACTTTTTTTCTGTGGCCAAAGTGAAATGGGACAATGAAGTTGGATTATCAGTTGTGTCCTAAAGAGAATTCCTTAAATACTTTGGAGTTGTGGCTGCGTGATGAGAATGTAGATGGGTGTTTATGTGTTACTCCTTTTCCAGCCAAGTGATGGTGTTCACATGAGTGCGTATTCTGAAAAGCTGCCTTATGCTTTGTTTCCACTCTTATTTCCTGAAAATATTGAGAAGACAGCCACTCTTGATAAACTTCTTGTCTCACAGGAGAAGCCACTTAGACCTGTATAATTGAGGAAAAATTTTCATACCAAAGCTAGGCAATGGAAAATTATATTTAGAGAGATGAAATGTAATCCCCCACCAAAAAAAAAGTTATCCTTATAAATTGCTGGGTTTTATTGAAGAATAATGGAGATGTAGTGACTTAGATGAATCCGTACATAGGGAATTCCTGAGGTACCTTCTGACTGAGGAAAGATGGCCAGCATCTTGAAGGGAGTCTTACATAAATAGGGAAAGACTTTTTTTTTTTCCTGTTCAATAATTCAAATACCAGTTCTTCAAACAACAATCCTGCTATGAAGTTTTTGCTGAACTTGGATGAGTTGTTCCATGCCCTGTGGAAGAGGTGCATCATTCAGGACATCAGTGGCTCTCAGCATTTTTGTAGTAGCAGGGTTGATTAATGTCCTACAGAGCCAGGAGGTGAACTAATGGAATAAAAATGCTTTTATTCTTAACCAGAAGTGAAAAGAATAAATACTGATTGTTTAGGAACTGACGTGCATCAAATGTGAAAGACAGTTCATGTTTGTGTCTTATGTGACCAGTCAGACTTAGAGGAGTGCATAGGAGTATGCTTGGGAAAGACAGGTCATTCACCGAGGGAAAAGGCCCCTAAAGAACAGTGGGAAATTTTTTTCTCCCTTGGAAGAAATATTATCTACTCAAGATCCTCTACTTAGATGATTGGGAATTTTTGCTAAACTTTATTACAACAAAATTTAATATTTAATTTTGTGTTTATTTAGAAACTGATTATTGATGAGAAGAAGTATTACTTATTTGGGAGAAACCCTGATTTGTGTGACTTTACCATTGATCATCAGTCTTGCTCTCGAGTCCACGCTGCACTGGTTTACCACAAGCATCTGAAGAGAGTTTTCCTGATAGATCTCAACAGTAGTAAGTACCTCCCTCCCATTTCCATGTTCCCTGGAACTAATATGAAAATGGTATTTGGGGGACTGGTGAGGTAGATCAGTGGTTAAGAGCACTGGCTGCTCTTGCAGAAAGACCCGGGTTCAGTTCCCAGCATCCACATGGTGGCTAACAACCATCCTTAACTCTAGTTCCAGGGTAACCCTCATTTTCTTTTTGTCTCTGCAGGCATTGCATGCATGGGTGCATTTACATGTAGGCAAAACACACACAAAATTAAATTTTTTCTTTAAAGAAAAGGCTATTTGGGTTCTTAGTTTGGAAAACCTGTTCTATTGATTGGCTTTTGTTTTGTTTATTTTTATCAATTCTCTATTTCTGTGATTCTTTTTTTTTTTTTTTCGGTCTTTTTGGGACAGGGTCTCCCCGTAGCCCCAGCTGTCCTGGAACTCACGATGTAGACCAGGCTGGCCTTGAACGCACAGAGATCCTCCTGCTTCTGCCTCCCAAGTGCTGGGATTAAAGGAATGCGCCACCACGCCTGGCCTATTTCTGTGATTCTTTTAATTTTCCTGAAATAATTAATGACTGACTATAGAGCAAAGATAGATTTGGGAAACACTGTCTTAGGGGAGTATGTTTTTTTTTTTTTTTTTTTTTTTTTTTTTTTTTTTTTTTTCCTTTTTGAGACAGTGTATCCCTGTAGCCCCAGCTGGCCTGAAACTTGCTATTGAGACCAGGGCTGGCCTTGAACTCAGAGATCCTCCTGCCTCTGCATCCAAGTGCTGGGATTGAAGGCATGCAACACCACACCCAACTGGAGTATTTATATATAAAGAATAAAAAATGGTTGGGCCTGGGCACAGCTTTAATCTCAGCACTGGGATATACAGGCAAGTGGATCTTTGTGAGTTCTGGCCTGGGCTACACACTAAGACCCTGTCTTGGTGGGCGGGGGGGATAGTAAAAATGACCCCAGGGGCTGGAGAGATGGCTCAGCAGTTAAGAGCACTGGCTGCTCTGGCAGAGGACCTGGGTTTGGCTTCCAGCACTCACAAGGCAGCTAACAACTGTCTATAACTCCAGTTCCAGGTGATTTGACAACTTCTTCTGACCTCCACAGGCATTGCACACATGGGTACACTTACATACATGCAGGCAATACATTTGTACACTAAAAATAATAAATATTTTTAAGTGGACCCCTCACCTCAGCAGTTGCACACACCCCCAGTCTGCTTACATGAGGGATTCTGTGGGCTTTATCTTATAGGTACTTATCTTTCCTTTCTGTTTCATGATGTGCAGAATGCTGACATGGAAACATACACAGACTCTGTAGCAGGATTTTGGCTCGCCTTGCTTTGACATTAACACTAAATCTTTGTTGACCAGTCTCCTGTCCTGGGGAAAACCTAAGGCATAATTATCACCAACCAACAATTTTCAAGTTCCTTAGACTTGGAGCTAGAGAGGGCAGAGCCCAGTGGTGCTTGTCTCATGCCTTCTGAGGCATGGCTTCTTGCTAGGTTGGAGCCATTCCTGCTGGACCCAGAATGGAGCCACGCTTCTCTAGCAGCAGAGAGCAGGCAGTGGTGTTATTTATGTGGAGAAGCAATAGTTCTAAAGATGTATAAGAAATCCTGAAGAAATTCAAAACTCACCAGTGAATTTTCCTTCTTGCTGTAAAACATGAGAGGATGAAATGGACATTTTGTCTTAAAAAGCTTATTTTCTGGGGCTGGAGAGATGGGTCTGCAGTTCAGAGCACTGGCTGCTCTTGCAGGGTATCCATGTTCGATTCCCAGCACCCACACGGTAGCTAACAACTGTAACTCTTTTAACACGGGATCCAAAGCTATCTTCTAGCCTCTGCCTACATTGGATGCACATGATACACTTAACAATCACACAGGCATAACACATACACATAAAGAAATAGATCAGAAAATTCATTATTCTTTTTATTTAAACTTGTTTTCTGCCAGACGTGCATGGTAGCACATGTCTGTAATCCCAATGCTTAGGAATCTGAGGCAAGAGAGTTGTGAGTTCAAAGCCAGCCCTTGCTACATAGTGAGACCTTGTCTAAAAAAAAACCAAGGGCTGAGGTTGTAGCAGCTCAGTGGTAGAGTGCTTGACTAGCATTGGCAAGGCTCTTAGTCTGACCCCAGCACTGAGGGTGGGGCTGCTTTTCTGAACATAGTCTTGCATATGACATTTGTTGTTACTAAAAACCAACAGAAAGCCAGGCATGGTGGCGCACACCTGTAGTCCCAGCACTTGGGAGGCAGAGGCAGGCGGATCTCTGTGAGTTAAAGGCCAGCCTGGTCTACATAGTTCCAGGCCAGCTGGGGCTACAGAGAGACCCTGTTTCAAAAAGACAAAAAAAAAAAAAAAAAAAAAAAACCCAAAAAAACCCAAAAAAAAAAAAAAACGGATGACGTGGGAGATGGTCAAATGTAGGAAGTGAGTTATTTTGATATATCACAGTGAAAGATTTATCGTCCTCTTTTTTTTTTTTTTTTTTTTTTTAAAAAAAAAAAAAAAAAAAAAAAAAAAAAAAAACCCACAAAAACCCAACAGAAAAGCAAAACTGATGTACTGGGAGAAGCGCACCTAAGAGAGTCAAAGACGGTGTTCTTCTGAAAATGCAGGTGGTTTTTATTTCTCCCCTTACATTTCTGATTTGGTTATTCCCAGCACATGGCACTTTCTTGGGTCACATTCGGTTGGAACCTCACAAGCCTCAGCAAATTCCCATCGATTCCACGGTCTCGTTTGGTGCATCCACAAGGGCATACACTCTGCGTGAGAAGCCTCAGACATTGCCATCAGCTGTGAAAGGAGATGAGAAGATGGGTGGAGAAGATGATGAGCTCAAGGGCTTACTGGGGCTTCCAGAGGAGGAGACTGAGCTTGATGTAATTCCATGTCTATGACTTTTTTTCTTTTTCTTGTCTTATGGAACCCTGATTTTTTTTTTACAGTGTGTAGATGTTCTTTCTACTTTGAAATGCCAGTGACTTAGTAGCAGGAGGCTCTTTTCAGTCTAGTAATGAGCCCATGATTTTGTATGGCCAGCTGTGCCCAGGTCTCCCTGCCATTAGAGCCACCTAAGAATTGTGTGCTTCTTCGCTGCCTATTAGAGGCCAAGACCAGGAATTGCATTTTTCTGTTCTTGTGACTGCTTAGTGCTATGTTGTTCAGTGCAGTGGTCACTAACCATGTTTCATGTATTCAGTCTTCACATGTTGAAAATCTAGTCAACACTGTATCAGGAGAGCCTGCATTTCTTCTTTTCCTTACTCTGTAAACAGTGTAGCTTAACAGCTTTATAAGCATATACATTATATTGTTATTAGCAATCTGTAAATGATGTAAAGTATATGGGCAGCTGTTCATAGGTTGTACACTTTTGTTTGAGGAACTTGAGCATCTGTTTACTTTGGTATCCACAGGGAGTCCTTGAACCAATCCCCTTCCCCCGCTTGAATACCCATGGAGACTACAATTTCCATCATCACGGACAGTTCTGTTGAACAGTACTTATCAAGCTGGCATTTTCATTTATTCATGTTGCTTTTCTGTTCCTATCTATGCAGCCCAGGAAACTTGTAAATACAGCCAAGCTGTTTTGTTCTTATAAACGTGGATGCCTGTAAGGCTATGAATTTTACGAAATTTAAAGTGTTAAAAGTCCTGGAACTCACTATGTAGACCAGGCTGACCTTGAACTCACAGGGATCCGCCTGCCTCTGCCTCCCAAGTGCTGGGATTAAAGGCATGCACCACCACGCCTGGCACAAAAGTTCTATTTTTTTAATAGTTATTTTGGTGTTGGTTTGAACCCAGGGCCTGGTGCATGCTAAGTACTCACCACTGACCTGTATCCCCCCAGCCTGTTTTCTAGAGAATGACCTCAGTACTTTGTGATATGGGTGTCGTTCACATGTCTGTCACTACAGTGATCTGGCTTGTCTGTTCGTGTAGACCAAGTGCAAACCTGTCCTTGAGCACCCACATGGATTTACTATTCCTGTATACTAAGGCAGTTTCCCAGGCTTTCAGCAGTAAAGCACAATGTAGAAGTTACTTTGTTCTGAAGTGGCTGCATGTCTAGGGACCTTGCTGGCAGGCATTCTTGCCTTTTCCTCCTTTGGGCTACTTTAATGCTTTCCTGTTTAGTATGGTAGGTCCTCTCTGGGTTTTTGGAATATCTCAACTGCAATGCAGATTGGAGTAAGTCCAGTGAACTGGACAGAAGCAGGAAGCCATGCCAAGTTAATCATCAAGATGGATGGATGGCTGGATGAGTGATTATATGAATAGAATTGGGGCCAAATGCAGGAAGGAGAGTAACAAAATGTTAATGCCAAAAATTAAGTGTACTTGTAGTGTCCTTAACAGTTATAAATGAGATAACCAGGCATAGTGGCTTCTACCAGCACTGGGGAGGTTGAGGGACGTGGATTGTTATGAGTTTGAGTCCAGCCTGGGTTACAGAGTTCTGTGTGTGCACACACACACAGAATTGTAAAGCTACTAAGAAATCAGCAGTCTTGTCTTTTTCATGTTTTGTTATTTTAACAAATCCTCCCAGGTACGTTTCCTTTAATTTTTGCTTGAAGACATGATAGCTTTCCTCCAAAAACAAAAAACTAAACAACCACATCCTCATCTCGAGGGCGACTGTTCTCACACAGAGCCCTTCAAATCCTTTTGGGTGACACTCCGTCTTGTCAGTGGGGATGTTCCATGTTCTGTTAGCATCTTAGGACAGCATGAGTCCTCTGTAAATGTAAAGGGGAGTCTTGTCTGTCTTGGGAAGTCAGAGTAAGCCCCAAACACCTTGCCATTCATTTAATACTTTATCCATGCAATTCCCTATGTACTGACTCCTTTCTTTCCTTTGTGAATTGGCCTAGAACCTGACAGAGTTCAACACTGCCCATAACAAGCGGATTTCAACCCTTACTATTGAGGAGGGAAATCTGGACATTCAGAGACCAAAGAGGAAGAGAAAGAATTCACGAGTGACTTTCAGTGAGGATGATGAGATCATCAACCCAGGTGAGATCTCTTCCTAGTTTCTTTTGGTGGACAATAGTATACACAGCCTGTGGGCTATTTGGGATATTTCTTATCTGGTTGCCATGTGAAGGAAAAGGCTAAAGGATGGGCCCTGGGTAGTGTAGTGTGCGGAGCAAAGCAGACCTCTGCTGGCCTAGTATGTCTATGGTAAGAGTTTAAGTGAGGTGTAAGTCTTTGCTGCCTTCCCCTCAGAACAGCACTGTTCTCTCTGGAGCTTTGGGTGGGTTTCATAACTTTAACCCTTTTTGCTGCCACCATTATTACACTGAAAACTTGCCTTTCTGCAAGGAAGTCACTCACAGATAGTTTGTATGGAAATGTCAGCAAAGTGAGAGCACCCATTTATAGGGAAGACCACTAAGTTTGCTACTATATTCCTTATTGAGTGCGTGTCTCAGTCCAAGTGCTCTCATAGGCAGGCAATAAGAGTGGCTCAGCAGTTAAGAGCACTGACTGCTCTTGCAGAGGACCCGGGTTCGATTCCCAGCACCCACATGGCAGCTACGAACCATCCTTAGCTCCAGTTCCAGGGGAATCCGAAGCCCTCTTCTGCCCTCCGTGGCATTGCATGACACAGGTGCACTCACATACATGCAGGCAATATGCTTATACACATAAAATTTGAAAAAAAAAAAAAAAAGTGGCATCTTATGTATAGTATACACAGTGATGATAAAATTGGGATGAAAAACCTTTATTTGAAAATAAATTTCAGGCTGGCAAGATAGCCCAGCAGATAAAAGTGCTTGTCCTTCAAGCTTGATGACCTGAGTTTGATTCCTAGGAACCACATGGTGGAAGGAGAGAATCAGCTCCTTCAATTTGTCCTCTGACTTCCATACATAATGACGTGGCACATGCACACCCACACAATTTTAATCAATTTCAGTGTGGAAATGAGGAATGTAGCCTAACAAGTTCTTTACATTGAAATGCTGTGACAGGTCTGCTCCACTGATGCCCATTGGGGTGGAGGGAGTAAAGACCTAGGGATTTTAGTTAATTTAAAATAGTCTAGCCGGGTGTGGTGGCACACGCCTTTAATCCCAGCACTCGGGGGACAAAGGCAGGCGGATCTCTGTGAGTTCAAGGCCAGCCTGGTCTACATAGTGAGTTCCAGGACAGCCGAGGCTATAGAGAGACCCTGTCTCAAAAAGATCAAAAAAAAAATATATATGGCCTGGGTCATGAGGGATGGAGAAACTAATCATGTGCAATTCAAGATTACATTAAGAGAAGACTGATTAAGTGGGAGGTAGTAACCCCACTTAACTGTCTGGTGTAGAACTCCCCGAAATGTGTTGTGTAGTTGTATAGTCCTAAGGGAGGAGAAGGCAGCTCATAGTAGTGGTATAGAATTCCCTGGATAGAAGGAAAACACGCATAAGGGGGAGGAGGAAACAGCCTTTGTAAGCCAAAACCAGAACCGGTGGATACCAGGGATTTAGATTATGGTAAAAAGAAGAAACCAGCAAATCCAAGGTTTATATTTAGAAGGACAAAGTTGTATGAAACTATTCCTGGTGAGACATGAACAACTGTCTCCTCACCCCAGATAGGGAACCACTGACAGACCAAAGTCCCACCCTGATAAACCAGTGAGTTTCACTGGTGTTACTTGCAGCAGCTCAACAGGTTGGAGAGTGTCCTTTGCAGGTGCTTAAGTCTGAGCCTGACAGCTCAGCCTGGTTTTAGTTTTTTGCAAGCAACTGGCTTGGTCTTGGCTGGTCTGAGAGGTCTTTTAGAGATTCTTAGGGTTTGCTTTAGGGTATCCTTTGGGAGGGAGGGATCTAGTTAACCTGGTCAATTTCAGGGGCTTCCTGTTGCTCACTTCTTGAGCTTAAGGAACTTCCTTGCCTGATGGACTGTTTTATCCCCCCCTCAAAGCATCCTGTTGTTTACCTTCCATCAGACATGTTGTTTACTCAGGTTCCCTCCAAGATGGAAGGTTTTTATCTTGAAGGAAATTGTTATACAACAGGCACTTAAAAGGATTCCTGAGCCAGTGAAATGATGACCTAAGTTCTGTCCTTAGAATCCACATAGTGGAAGGAGAAACCCTATCTTCTTCATAAGGACACCATGGGCCAGGCGTAGTGGCGCTTGCCTTTAATCCTACTACTCAGGAGGCAGAGACAGGTGGATCTCAGTGAGTTCTAGGCCAGCTGGGGCTACAGGGAGGCCCTGTCTCAAAAAGACCAAAAAATAAACGAAAAAACATAAGCACATCATGGCTCATGTGTAAACATCCACACACCAATACACACATACATACATGCATAAATGTGAAAACCTTGAGGAAAAAAGGGATTCCTGTGATAGATATTAGAGCATTTGTTCTAGTGACTCAAAGTAATGAGTACTAAGGGGGAATGTTTAGGTAGGAGGCTAGATGGCCAATCTGAGAAGCCTTATGCCTGGTCCCCATGACATATTTAATAAACGTTTGCACAGGTCAACCTAGAATTTTTGTTGTTTGCTGTAGTAGGGATTGAACCTAAGATGTTATATATGCTAGGCAGACACTCTATCCCTGAGCCCAAGTCCCTTAGAATTACCTTGTTTGTTTGTTTGTTTGTTTGTTTATTTATTTATTTATTTAATTTTTGTGGTGCTAGGCAAATCCTCACAAATGCTAGGCAAACATTCTACTATTGAGCCACACCCCAGCCCAGAATTGGATGTGTGTATGTGTATATAGATATCTGTTGTTGTTGTTTGAGACAGTGTCTCACTGTGTAGCCCTGGTTGGCCTGGAACTCTCTGTAGACCAGGCTGGCCTCAAACTCACAGAGCTCTACCTGCCTCTGCCTCCTGAATGCTGGTATTAAAGGGGTATGCCACCTCACCCAGCAAAATGCTGTATTTTTTTTAAACACTCCTATTTGTACAATGTAATAATAAACAGCCAGGAATCTGGAACCTGCTGGGCTAGCTATTCTGCAAAGTCTCTTTCAGGAATAAGGGGTTAGATTTGCTTTATTTTTTCTTCTTGAAAATTGGTGCCTGGACCACGCACCATGACTTGAGCCTGTAATCACAGCACTTGTGAGGCCAAGGCTTTATCAGGCAGTATGTTTAGGCAGAGAGGTGTAGTGCATAAGAGCATGCACTGTAGCTGGGCATTAGAGTGCACTCCTGTAATCCCAGCACTGAGGAAGTTGAAGCAAGAGTAGTTAGTTTGTGTGATTTTTAAAACTGATTGATTGATGTTTTGTGTGTATGTTAATACTACATGAGTGTTTGTGTACCACATACGTGCAGGAGCCCACAGAGGCCAGAAGAGGATGTCAGATCCCCTGGAGCTGGAGTTACAGATGGTTGTAAGCTGCCATGTTGGTTCTAGGAACAGAATGAGGTCCTCTGTGAGAGCAGGATATCCTCCTAAACTGCTGAGCCATCTCTCAATCTCTGCCCAGGGAGTTTTGTTTGTTGAGATAGGATCTCTCATTCACCTGGATCTTGTCAAATAAGCTAGAACTAGCTCCCCAACTCCTTGTTTTCTTTAGACACGGTCTCATGTAGCCTGGGTTAGCCTTGGACTCAATATATACCAAGGCCAGTATTGAACACCTAATCTTCTTGTCTCCACTTTCTGAGTATGTGCCATCTCGTGGCTTATATATCCCATTTTAAAGATTTAAAGTGAATGGCACCTGAGGAGCGACACCTGAGGTTGATACTCACATGTTCTCCCGTTCATACACACTTGAACACACATACCCAGAAAACCTGGAAGCGTTCTAGAGGCAGAGACAGGAGGAGCATCACAAATTCAAGGCAAACCTTGTCTATATATAGCAAGTTCAAGGCCAGCCAATAGAAATACCCTATTTCAATCAAAAATAAAACAAGTAGGGCATGGTGGGTCTTTAGTCCCAGCAAGCAGGAGGCAGAGACAGAGACCAGCCAGTGCTACATAGTGAGACTCAGTCTCAAAAAACAAACAAAATAAGTGCCGGGTGTGGTGACACATGCCTTTAATCCCACCATTCAGGAGGCAGAAGCAGGCAGATCTCTATGGTATACATAATGAGTTTCAGTCCAGGTGGGGCTGCAGGGAGACCCTGTCTCAAAAAGACAACCCCTCCCCCCAAAAAAGTAAAAAAAAATAGATGATATATAACATCTATTAAGGAAGCAGTTCCTTTTCTATGATCTTAAGCTAAAGGATGTTTACATCCACTTTTTATAGTGCTTACTACACACTCAGCCTTTGGTGGATACTCTTGTATCCATGTGGGGCAGCCCAGCCATCCTTCTCTGCTCAGGGAGTGTTTGGCAGTTCCCTTAACACACCTCTGATGTGTTGTTGCTTGTCTGGCTTGTTATTATGAACTCCTTAAAGATAATATCTTGCTCTTTCTATGCCTGACAATCAGTGCACAGGTATGCAAGAATGACTGAAAAGCATGGCCCTCACCTAGCTGTAGTGCTTTTTCACTGCAGAATTGCAGAATGAAGCCAGCAGCTTTGTAGGGTACAGTGATGTGTGTATAAGCCATGAAAAGGGAGCCACTGTGCTACCCTGCTTGGACAGGCTGCTTCAGACCCTTAAGTCTTACTTGTATACAGTTCAGTTTATTTAGGTTAAAGGCCAATGTAAGCTTGAAATCCTGGTTCCATGTCCTAAATCTGTTCTTTGCAAATGAATAGACATAGCAAGACGTGTGGTTTATGCCCTCTTGTTTAAGCACTAAAATAATAACACCTGCCTTTTTTCTCTGACCTCAGAAGAGAAATACATGAAATGGGGGAAAACTTGGGGAAGGCAGTGCATGACTGACTAGGGTATAGACCCATTTCTAGCTCTTCCCTCTCCAATATGTGGACTGGCCTATGGCTTTTTCTCCTCATCTGCGGGGGTTCGAACCAGCAACCCCTGCGCAGTGATGATTGGGGATAAGTAAGCACGCCGTTCGCCAGCCCATGCTGCCCCCAGTACTGGGAACACTCAGGTGCAATGGGGAGCCTAGTCAAGCAGGGACTCATTTATTGCAGGTGTTACAGAGCTTATAAAGGCACCTGGACATCCCCCCCTGCCCCCTGAGGGTGTATCTTAAGGATGGTCATGCACTGATCATGCACTCCTCAGCAGTGCAGAAGTATCCTTCAGACTTTTAAAACAAGTCAGGCCACGCCCCAGTAACTTCCTCTTGGACTTCTGCAAGGTGGGGCTTTTAGGTCCCCACATCTCCCCCTTTTATTTTTATTTTATTTTTTAGACAGGGTCTCATAAAGTCAGGGTCAAGCCGGACTGACTTTATTTCACGGTTACCCATCTCATAGATGGCCTCCTGAGGAGAGATGGCTATCTCCTTCCTCTAATCTTCTGCATTTTTGCCTGTCTTAGGTTGTGTCACCTCTGACCAAGCCTTGCCTGTCATTGGATCATGCACCTGGCCATGTGCATGTCCTGTCTTAGGAGTACTTGTCATGGGACATCTTACCCGTCCTTGGCTAAAAATGCGTCCTGATTAAGGGCAGCCGCATGGGTAATGCCAGCCCGTGACAGTCTTAGTCTCTGCCTAATTCAGTTAGCCAAGCATGGGCAGCCGGAGTGGGTCCTGGGGGAGTCCGTAATCATGAAGAGGTGGGCCGTGGCAGTTCCAAGGGTCCTCTGTCACTGAATTATCGGGTAAAGACACTTAAAGATAAGCATTATCAAGAGAAACAAAGCAAGTCATGGTGTAGGACAAGTTGAAATACTTCTGAGACCATGTACCTTTTACCCAATCAGCCAGTTGTCAAAGAGATTGACTGGCAATGAAGCCAAGGAACTGGGTCCTTCACCTCGGATATAAATAAAGAGAGGAATTTTGTCTCATGAACTATTGTCCATGGACCGTCATGCTAGTCATTCGGCTCCTGGCCTACCCACTTAAGGTTTTTCACAGGCACCCATATGGGTTTGAATCTCCTGTAGGGTAGACACAGCTAAAGCCTCGACCCATGGTTAGCAATGGATGTGGGCCTCTCCATTATCCCGTAATGGGGTCCTTCCACCTTACCCATACCTCAGGTCTCTGCTCCTGTCATCCCCAATGCTTCTGAAACCAGGATTCCAACAG